CGAGTACTACCGACAACTTTCCAATGCCAACACGTTGCTCATGCCCGATGGAGAGTCATATTGCCAGGTGTGTATTTAACATTACCACCATTATGATTCTGAATCAACCGATCGAGAGTCGTTCGTAATTCGCAAAAAATATCGACCGTACTTGCTAGGAACCGCAGATTTTCACGACTCCCTCGAGGCCTAGTAGCAATCATATGTCAAAAAAGCAAGTTCTAGTAGCGATCACACCGCGTCAGAACGTATTGTTCTCATTCCTGCGCTAAATGTTGTACACTGGGATTTTCTTGTCCGACAGATATGAGCTGCGAATGCTAAACACGAATGCGACCAACAAGTAAGGAAATAGTGTTGACTCGAAAGGCTCTCCCCATATGCTAAGGAAAGCAGCAACACAAATCATCTCAAAGGAGAGAACTTTCACACCAACTTCAAGACAGATCCACCCCGCAAATTAGCGCCAATTTTGGCTTGACAGGGTGCGACGGTATAATGATCCTGTTGTGGGAGCTTGTTCCTGCACACGCATGGCGGAAACATGGCGACACCAGCTCCTGTCAGCGTTTCTGTAATGTATGATTGAGGAATAAACGGCGTCGATACAATGTTTCTCACTCGCCCATGATTCCAAGCGGACGATGTGCCTACTAACCCCATCACCCTACAAGTATTAAAATTAATACAGTGCTGCTGATGGAATCCGATTGCGTGAGTCAAATTTGCACCAGCGTGAGGCATGACATTGGCTCGCAAGATCGGATTTCATTGCGCAGCTGGACATAATTATGGCGGTAGGTCCATGACCTCCCATGCTGCTAAAAGCAAGCTTCTACTAAAAGTTCTAGTTAGGGCTCTACGGTGTTCTCATCATGGTGGACTGCTGGTCCAGGACTTGGCGTCATTATGGTCTTAGGGAGTCGCTTGGCCAATTCATTAGGGCGACAGGTGGCTTGCAATTTGCCTGTCAGTACGGACCTGGGAAAAGCTGCTCCAAGCCCAATCCTCCGAGTCATCAGATCTGTCCAACAACTTGTGGACGAACGTCAGCAAATCAGGCACGCCGAAAACTGATAAGTGATAGACATTATCAGCTGAGTTTGCTGGCCGATGCTCTGCTTCGCATGGAGGATCCTCCCACAACTATGTGGCTGCCAACACGGAGCGACGAAATTATACTTCAGCAACTTACGAATACGCATCACCATAAGGATGATCCAAGCACCACCAGAAGGATGATGGATGTTTAAAAATTAATATTACCCGCGTGCATTGTCTAGCTAAGCCCGTTCGCTCCTACAGCCCGCAGAACCTCCAGCCACTACTAATCTATGGTCGAGGACAGCAGACTGGGACCGAGCGGAGACGGAAGTATGCGCGCTTGGTGGCGATGCAAGCACCTGACACGGCAGAAGATCGCTGAGCAATTCTCTAGTCGCGTGACTCGCTGCTAAAGTCGTGAAAGCGAAAGGCCAGCCATGAGGCGCAATGAGTGTGTGTGCTCTGAATATATAGCTGCGTCTTGCATCAAATCTGTCCTGTTTCTGCCACAGAGAACATTGGCTTCCTCCGTTCTACTTATTTAGGCTAAGACCTGAGGAGAATCCATACATACAAATACAAAAATACTTCATCATGTTCAAGTAGCCCTGGACATGTACCGCAGTACAGGTGAAATCTCGTTTCAGCGACCACATGTACACATGGGGTTGGCCGTTGAACACAGGTGGTCTCTGAAACCAGGGTGGATCCTGCACATTCCGATGACTATGCTTTTAAACCTGAGCTCATTACATGATGCTTGTTTGTCCGGAAACACCCCTTGACATAGGCACTCCAGCCTTTGGGTTATCCGTAACTATCAATTGAGTGTTCGGATGGCAATAAACAGAATGAGCTGAAGCGTCATGTTACGAATTTCAAACCTTCGTAACATGACGCTTCAGCTCATTCTGTTTATTGCTATCCTGAAACGTTGGTGACCTCGCCGCCTGTTCAAATTAAGTGTTGCTTTAATGTATCTGGGATGGTCGCTGGACCAGGCTTGATCAGCAGAACCTGCCATTTGTCCCATTTCATGGTCACCTGACCTCATCCGCAACCTGCGTGCGTATGCATCGCTGGCACAGTGTCCGATGTCAGATGGGAGGCATATTGTGCTCTTCCACAATAGAAGGTGATGATACAAGCTTTTAGACTCGTCTCCCATGCACTCCCTAAAATTCTCCACCACGCCAGCGAGAGACTCTCCGGGTGTCTGCTCAACCTGCTCACGTTTGTCCCTTGGGAAGACTGCCTTAGGAAGACTGCTGTAAGCAAGTCATGCCGAATTGCCGATCATTTCTCAATAAACTTGAAGGAAGGAGCGAACGATTCGAGGATGCTACCCAGCTGTTGCTGCTCTCAGGGAACCCTAAAGCCCTGCCCGGACTGGTGCAGTAGCGGAATGCCGCAGTTTGCTCACAAACTGTTCGGCAACCTTCGCTGGGACGCGGACCGAGCGCAGCTTTTGCCCCGATGGGTGTGTAGTTGCGTAGATCTACGAGCCTCAAACTATCTGATCCTGTCAAACAAAAGCGACAACGGTCAAAGCCCCACAAAGTCAAAGGGGCAAGTCTCCATGACCAACACAATGATACTGTACTCTGTAGCCTGCTCTGGGTTACTGTAAACGTCGTCAAGACTCACTGGACTGGAGCTCTGCCAACCGACGCGACGGTGGTTGCAGTTAGCTAGGAGCACTGTTTTTCAACACAGTGCATCCACGTCATTGCATGCTGTCAACCAAAAATTAAATAACCATGCTACTACATGTACCAGTACTAGCAAGAGTACATAACCCCCAAGAGTGTGCAACTTTTTTTTTTAATGTTAGTGTAAGAAATTGGCACCTATGACATCAGGGGATGGCCCACGCCTGGTAAAAAAAAATAAAAACAAAAAACAATGAGGAGCATTAAAGACAATCAGTGCAGTGCGCACATGTTCACCGGTTTGAGTGCTACGCACATGCCACAGTTCAGAAATGCAAATAATAATTGCACTCAGCAGCCACCAGTTCGGTCGATGATGGTTGAGCTACTGCAACTCTGCTCCGGGACCGGTGTCCTCGGAGGGCCATAATGGCCGAGCGAAGAAGGGCGAACCCCAACCTGCATCTGATCCATGCCATTGTGATGGAGTAAGGCTCATTCTTCTTGTCGCTGATGTTGTTGTTGTAGTTGTTGTTGTTGTAGAAGTTTATTTAACGTCGCACCACAAACAGGCGATTTCGCCTCCTTTGATACATGTGGACGACAGAAGGAATGAGAGAGAGAGGGGGGGGGGGGGGACAGAAGTATGGAGAGAGGAAGGGTAGAAATAAATAAGCAATCAACCTCAGGGCTACGATGATCAGTCCGAGCCGCTTGTAAAGGACAGTTGCCGCCTTGCCTTGGCCTCCGGTGGCACTGAATACGAGGGGAACGAAGGTGGCATGCTCCACCTCACGAACACGCTCCTCATAATGCCGACGCTTCTCACGCTCATGCTTTGCGTATGCGGCGGGGATGGAGTGGACCGAGTTCGAACGAGCATGAGGGTTGAACACGAGAATATCAAAGAAAGCTCGTTCAAACCGGCCACCCCATACCCCGCTGGCAGCAACATCCAGCCTGGCACCATCCTCACGGATAGCCGTCCGGTGATGAAAATTCTCACCAGATAACGGCTGAAGGCGTGGCTCAATGCTGATATCATGAGCTGCTGATGTGAGCACGGTAGCGGTCAAGTCCCGCAGCTCGTTGTGCCGCAGAGACGGATAGCCACCTACTGGGCAAGACCAGGCGTGCGGGACAGTGAAGGCAGCTCCACAGGCACAGCTCTGGGGTAGATGGGGCGGAGTCCACCCGTAGCGGAGGCAGACAGCATCTCGAAACGCGCCCTTGTGTAGCAAGAACCCATGCTGCTTGAGTGGTCGACAGGTGAGCCAGTTCGACGCACCCTTTTCGGCCGCAAGATCCATGGACCTCTGCAGGTCTCCATCCACGCCATCGTACACCTCCTTGGCATGACGCTGCTCCTTCTTTCTGGCGTCTGCCCTGGCTTTAGCTTTGGCTGCCCTGGTGTTGTCCGCCTCCTCCTGTGGCGGTGTATCCTGGTTCAAAATGCGCTGAACTAAGCTCTCGGTGATCGTAAGTGAGGAAGGAAACTGGTTCACAAGAGATACTGGGGAGACAATCCCCATGCCTCCGTAGCGGCTTGGGAGCGCGAGAACTTGGCGTTCCGTCTCTCCGGGCTGGGGACGACCAAGAAGAGCGGGAATAAACGACTCGGAGATGGTGGACTCCAGCTGTTCGAGGTGCGGGGCAACTCCTGGCATTGTGCGGGCGATGAATGACCACTTGTACCGGAGAACGTTGGTGTACACTGCGTAAGCTGCTTGTGGCTGGGTGGAGGCCACGGTGGACAACTCCCGGATCTCCTCTTGCCATGCCTTCACCTTCGCCAAAGCAAAGGAGGCCCTATACTCGGGTGATCCAAGGGCGGCTCCAAGGTGTCGGTTGCCGTCCGTCTTGATGACGATATCGGTGTCGGCGAAGAGTGTGCAACTCCAGCTATGGGGTCTGCGACGGGGGGTTATGTACTCTTGGGGTTATGTACTCTCGGTACTACAGTAGTATAGTACACGCCCTTGTTCGAAACTCGGCGGAAGACTGGCGGGAGCCGGTAGCCGAGCATGCAGGGCCGGAAAGTCCCCAATGCCGGCAATATGCAATGGGTTCCAATATGAGACCCGATTGGCCAATTGGGGTAAAAAATTAGGGAATTTAGGGCCTTGGTCCGCTAATTTATACGTATTATCCGCCAATCAAATCCCAAATAAGGAGTGACTGATATCAAGAGTCCATGACCCCAGGATATGGACTCTTGATTCGATATCGCGATGGTTTGAATGAGCACTTGCATGCAATGAAATCTCCGTGATCATTCGACGCGCCAAACTTCAAAATCTTCCAGAGCCAGATATATCAGAGGGAAATTGGAATTGGAAAGAAGAAAAGAGCCGAACGCTGAAGAAGACATGCCTGGCACATTGGCCGCTGCCGCCGGTTCCGACGCATGATGCAAGCAGTTTGTTAGTCGTCCATGTGGACAGCAGGCATGCAAGACCTGCCCTGCGTTCTCCTGGGTCTTGCCTCCGGGTTTCTTCTTGCCTCGCTCGTGAATCAGCCACCTCGCCCTGATATCCAATCTGGCGACTACGTTCAGACTCCCCGACGAGTGGACAGCGGAAACATTCATATTGACAAGGCAGGACGTCCCTCAGCAGAAGCTGCGACCCGGGGCAACCTACGTACAGTACCTGTCCAAAAGCACGGGAATCGTTCGATCGGAAAGTGGAGAGAAGACAAGGCAACCCCATCGTCCACCTTCAATGCAAAATCGAGGACTCCACGCAGATGGTATCCGACGCAGTGGTCGTCGACATGGGTCAACGCCGGGGTGCACGGCTCGTCACGGCCTGACATCCGGACCGACAGTCGACTGCTCGTGGGTGTGATGTCGGCCGTCAAGTATCTCCGCACGCGCGTCGCCGCTGTGCACAACGCTTGGGGAAAGTCGTTCAGTCCGCACCTCAAGGTAGGCCGTGAGGACGCAGGGTCTGTCTTTCGCGCTACAAACACCATTATGTGTGATACCAAGAGTCTCCCCCCCCCCCCGCCCCTCCATAGCCTTGAAGTTTAGAGATCGGTTTAGTTACCCTCTGTAGAAAGTCCACAAAGAGAAGCGGAAGAGAAAGTGCGAGTACGAGTCTGCACCTAACTCACTGTAGCACAGTGTACAGCTCCATACCACACGGGGTGATAAAGGTATGTGTAGCAACGACTGCACCCTACAATATTAGGGAGATTTAGTTCCCACGTAAGGCCCTCTGCAGACTACGTACATAGAACATCCAGTACAAAATCACATAAAACCTAAAAGGCAACATATTTCCACGCCTGCATTCAGACTACACATTTTACATGCAACATACAGGCAACCTTTGACCCTACACAATTGCACAAGGGGCCTGGGATGTGTGAAAGCAGCCGGCAGTCTACAAAGTTTGTACATTTGTACGACTACCTTGTGAAAGTACGATAAATGCAGGAAAGTTGCCTTGTACAAGGGTTCCCACCCTGCCCGAAAGGATTGGGCAGCTTTTTAGGCTTCCCGCCAGATTCTTGTAGCTGTCTTGGAAACTTCTATGTAAATGTGACTTATAGGCTGTTTTGTATCTAGTCTGAAGAGGGCCTAACGGAAACGCGTACGTGGGTGATCAACGTAAAGTGGATGAAGGGCACCCACGTTGCAATGTTGTGTTTAGTCACAAGGAACAAACAAAATCATAAAGCAAAAGGCCCAAACCTGGTCACAGACGAAGCTACCCAGGCCTAAGAAGCTCATCTAATATTTTAATTTCGTGCTTCGGAAACTTCTTCAGCTGAGCACCCTCACAGCTCGCACAATGCGCTCCATTCTGATTTTCACCCACGTTCTGCCGGAACGTGGGTGAGCCTCCATACACGGTATGTCGTGAATCAGAAAACGTCTGTACGTGGGTCACTGAGTATCACGTGGTACACACACGTAAAGTACCCACGGATTACGTGCGACTAAACCTCCCTAATACCGGGTGATACAAAACGTACAGTGCCACTTTTGTGGAAACAGTGACATCACATGCCATATCGATGGCCTTTCCCCATCAAAATGTATGTGAATCGGAGTTACAGACATTTCAAAGTTACGGGCAGTGCCCGGTCCCGAACTGCCCGGATAAACGAGGCATGAATGTAGTACGAAGTAGTGGTTGCGACTTCGGCGATGATTTGTAAGAAAGGGTCTGCTCCCCAAATGTAGTACATAATGTAAATAATAGAAAAGCTGACAGGATCGCTTTTCTAAAAATCCTGCACCTGATACATTAGTGTAAAAGATTTTTTTTAACTATGCTGTACACTAGCCGCTATGCTCTCCACACAGACAGGACTAGGGAGGTTCTGCTATACGTGAAACGTAGAGAAATCACGTAGAGAGCAGGTGTCTGGGTTAGAGTCTACGGCTTCGCGTGTTTTGGCTCCAGATTTCTACGCGGAGATGAGGTTCTCTACGTTGTGGCACACGCAGAGAAAATGCGTATGGATCAGCCGGGTATCGATCAACTGAAGGCAGAAAACTGCCAAATATGGAAGGGGAAAGTCCCAGTACACATTTCACGTGATTTCTCTACGTGAACGTAGAGCAGAACAGCTTTTCTTTACGTTACGGGAACACGGAGAGAGTTCCTGGGCCTACGTGATTTCTCTGCGTTTCACGTATAGCAGAACCTCTCTACTGTCAGGTTTGGAAGACGAACAGGCTAGAATTCCACCGGGCACAGGACACCTGCATGTGCATGCTGGTTAAACTATAATTATATACAGTAAAACCTGTGACGGCGACCACTCGGACAAGGCGACCACCTGTCCCAGGACCACTACAACCAGGACCAAGGGGTGTTGTTTCCAGTCAAGTGACCCTGGATAAGAAGACCACCTGTAGATGGTGACAACATTTTCAAGATCCCACAGCTACACATGATACGATAGGAATACTCGAATTTCAGAAATTTTCGGTGCTCAATATTTTCGGTATGAGGGCAACAGGCCAGGCTAGGTGAACAGAAATTTTCGGTACAGAGAAGCAGTTCCCTATTGGATTATGTGTGTTAGTGTTTGTTCGGTGTATTGAAAATTTAGGTATGAAAGAGACGCACCGAAAGTACCGAAAATAAAAGAACACCGACAATTTGTGAAATTACAGTAGCCTACAATAGGCTACGGCACTGAGCCCCGTCCTTTGTCTTTGGCACCAGGCAGCAGGGTAATGTGGAACGGCGGCAAACTGCGCTGCGCGCTTGTGCATGTGTGTGTGTGTGTGTGTGTGTGTGTGTGTGTGTGTGTGTGTGTCCCTTGAGTTCGTGGGGGACGGTTTGGAGTTTTTTCGCTCTTCAATTTTCTGAAGTTTGCTGGCTCTTGAAAGCGCCACGGGGTGGCCTTTGGCCACCCCAGTTGGCTAGAGTGTCAGAGCAACTCTTGGAAACTCAGGCGTCGTGTCCGGGGCAGAGATTGATACTGCCACTTGTCGCCTGACAAGAGTTGCCACTCGTCGCGGTGTGACGAGCCCGCGAGTGGGTACTGACAAGAAATCTGTCCATAGAAGAGTGCAGAGGGAGAGAGAGAGTCTCCAGCTGGCTTCCTGGAATGTTCGCTCTCTGCTGAACGCATCTGGCCCGATGGAGATGGCTTGTGTGTGTGTGTGTGTGTGTGTGTGTGTGTGTGTGTGTGTGTGTGTGTGTGTGTGTGTGTGTATGTGTGTGTGTATGAATGTATGAATGTATGTATGTGCATGCCTATGCATCACTGTGTGTATCGGTGCCTTTCTGTATGTGTCTGTGCATGTCTGTACGTGTCTGTGCATATCTGTGCACGTCCAGTTCTACTTCAGTTACCCAACGGGTGCTCAGCGCGATGAGGTTGATGAACTCGAGAAGACGTACAGGGAAGAGGCCGGCGTCAATGTGGTGCATCTCAAAGGTATGTGTTGTCGGGGGGGGGGGGGGGAGCATCCCACTGTATATTGTTGTTGAAGAACAGGGACGTCACACGCTGTACGATCACTACGACCATGGTCGTACCACTTTTCGTCCAGGATGGTCCGCCCAATTCATCCAAAAAGCTCTAAAAAAGCAGCAAAACGTGCCTTGTTGGCCGAAAAATCCGAATGTTTTCCCCCGGGGGACACCCCGACGGACCGTACCACTCCCCACTTACCTGTGACACCCCTGAGAGAAGCTTCAGTTCTCTCTTTTAAACTGAAGATCTGCTCGCATGCTGCTCTAGCTGATCCCAGGTAACTGGTGACGAAGGAATGTTCTAAGACTTTTCGCGTTCCTGTCACTCGAGTTGAACCTTGGTGTGAAAGTTGTAGCCTGCAGGCACGGTGACCACAGGTGACCGGGTACGCATAAGCACGTGACCGCTTATTCAACCATGCTCAATTGGGAATAAGGGCCGAGCGCGCTGCATCGCAGCCTTCCCGGACCAAAACCTGTCGACTCAGCGTCCAAAAGACTACAACATATGGGCCAATCGCGGTCATTCGTGCTTTTATAAGGCCACACGTTTTTATTTCTATGTTTCTCACCTGAAAATCTAAAAACGTATGCGAGAGGTGGAAAAAAATAAAAAATGACCGAAAAATAAAAAAAAGTTTATTAGACCTTTGTTCCCACTAAAATCCACCAATACACCATGCAAAATAGCCTCCATAGTTTGCAACTAGTATGTGGTAGGAGCTTCTGTCACAATCTGTGCATGTGCAGCTAGATTGCGCACAATAATTGGTGACCTCGCATCATGTGTCGCGTAGGCCAGGCCACATTATGTACATGTGCATGAGTGTGCTGGTCCCCACATGCACAGTCAGTGCAGCACATTTTTTTCTTTTTTTCCTCCAGACTCCTGAATCGTATGCGCGCGGGTGACGAGAAACATAGATATAAAAACGTGTGGCCTGAGAACGAAATGGCGCTTTTAGCGACATTTTGCATACAAATCTCCATCTAGTAGGGCGCAGTCAAACAGTTTCGGTGGAAATGGCGAGTTCGATTGGGAATAAAGGAGGGAGGGAGCGTCTCAGCTTCCTCGGACCAAGACCATTCGACTCAGCACCACGGAGACTACAACTGGTGAACTTTTGATTGATTTTAGGCTTAAACTTCCCCTTTTTCGTATCGCAACCAAGAGGACAAACTGTGCAGCAACCATTATTTTTAAATTATGACTACAACAATGAACATGGGAGAGAGATATGAAATGTAAATGTAAAAGGAAAAATGTTCGGAACAGTTTTCTCGCTATGATCATCAGTGAACGTACGAAAAAAAAAAAAACCCCAGAGCTGGTATGTAAAGGGGAAGTTAAGGCAAAAATCAAAATTTCACCAGTTGTAGTCTTCGGGGTGCTGAGTCGAATGGTCGTGGTCCGAGGAAGCTGAGACGCTCCCTTCCTACTTTAATCCCAATCGAACTCGCGCACTTCCACCGAAACTGGGTGACTGCGCCCTACGAGATGGGGATTTGTATGCAAAACGTCACTAAAAGCGCCATTTCGTTCTTTTAAAAGCACGGATGACCGCGATTGGCCCATATGTTGTAGTCTTTTGGACGCTGAGTCGTCAGGTTTTGGTCCGAAAAGCCTGTGATGCAGCGTTCCTCCTTTATTCCCACTCAAACATGGTTGAACAAGCGGTCACGTGCTCCTGCGTACACCAGTCACCTGGTCACCGTGCCTGCAGGGTACAACTTACTAGCCTGTTTGACCTTTTTTTGGGTGCACTCCTGTCACTAGAGTTGAACTCGAGTTGAACCTTGGTGTGAAAGTTGTCGCTTGCTGGCGTGGTGACCAGGTGATTTGGGCACCCAGGAGCACGTGGCCGTTTCTTCAACCATGTTCGATTGGGAATAAAGGAGGAACGCTGCATCGCAGCCTTTTCGGACCAAAACCAGTCGGCTCAGCGTCCAAAAGACTACAACATATGGGCCAATCGCGGTCATCCGTGCTTTTATAAGAACGAAATGGCGCTTTTAGTGACATTTTGCATACAAATCCCCATCTCGTAGGGCGCAGTCACCCAGTTTCGGTGGAAGTGCGCGGGTTCGATTGGGATTCAAGCAGGAAGGGAGCGTCTCAGCTTTCTCGGACCAAGACCATTCGACTCAGCACCCCGAAGACTACAACTGGTGAAATTTTGATTTTTGCCTTGACTTCCCCTTTAATATGTATGCAGTAGAAATGTAGGGCCAGTACAGCATAACATTTCGCTTCACCTCTTCATGCTGTGATGATTATATACATCGGAGCAGAGGTCCTCGCGTAATCGTCAATCAAAAAGCGTGCATATTCTTCATGTGCATCAGACTACTTGCAAGGTACAGGTTGCCATTATTTCCTGCCGAACTGCCGAAAGTCCTTTGTAATGAAAAAAAGGGGGAAAAACTGTCCTGCACCGGATATTTCTCCTTGTGCTCTATGATGATACTGTAGTTATGGTGGTGGTGTTGGTAGAAATTCATTCGCTGCTGTTGTTGTTGTTGCGTCTCTTGGCATGCAGGTGCGCCGCAGAGCGAGTACCCGCCACAGCGCAAGATGTTTCTGATGATGCACTCGATGTGCGCCAGCGTCGGTACCTACCAGTGGTACTTGAGGGCGGACGACGACGTCTTTGTGCGCCGCGAGGCGCTGCTGGAGTGGCTGACGAAGCTCGACCCGCACACGCCCTACTACATCGGATCGTTCGGCTTCGGCCGGCAGGACGTGATGGAGAGGCTGGACTTACGGGGTAGCTTCTGTATGGGTGGTCCCGGCGTTATCTTGAGGTAAGCACTAATGGCACCGCTGGTTAAAGCCAGTGGTGTGCACGGGTGGTCGGGTACCCGTGCTACCCGTGACGACCTCGGGTAGACGGCTACAGAATAACACCCGAATACCCGAAGTCGCAGATGACATCATGTATAGTGCACGTGTACAAATTCATGTAATACTCCGCATGTCAACCCAGTGTGTAAGGGAAAGGGTGCATTGTGGTGTTACCATAGAAACATTACCCGATCGCGTACCTGTGCTACCCGTGGAAAACTACCCGATACCCGAAAAAATGCTAGCCGACTCAGCCCTAGTTAAAGGGCATACAAAGTCTAGGTTCGCGTGGTACTCGGTTAGACTAAGGTTTTCGGATCCGTAGAGATGCCACCACCCTTAAGGATCAAGGTGCAGATGCAGCCCTCTAAAGTGGTAGGAGGCGAGTAGATCAGACCCACCGCCAAAGTGGTCAAAGACCGACAAATCCCAAATCGCCGGAGCTGGAAGGATGTCGGTCAGCGCATCCGAGACGTGACAGAGCCAAGTATCAGGCCGCTGAATGTCAGCATCATTCGTCAGTAGTATGCCAACTCGGTGCATACTGTACATGTAGCGTATACTCAATCTGCACACAGAACTGTTTCGTCCTTTTTGGATTACTCTACATGAATATGACATTGTGTACATGTTATACCTACCAACAATCCCAATTTGACCAGGACCGTCCCGATATCGAGGGTGGTAATAGGCACCCAAAAGTGTATTTGTCGTATGCCTCACAGCTACATTTCTAAACATTTTCTTACCTAGGCGTGTCATTGTCCCGATCTCAGGTTTGCAAAGGTTGGCAGGTATGACACGCATGCATGTCCATGTATGTTGTGTCTATGCGTGTCTATGCTGTGTCTATGCATGTTGACGTGCAGAGCCATGGCGCCGTGACAACGCTGTGTATGTTGTGTCTATGCGTGTTGCCGTGCACAGCCATGGCGCCATGACAAAGCTGTGCCCGCACATCTACGACTGCATGGGGGACGTGATGACGGGCGAAGAGGACACCGAGCTGGGCCGCTGCATCCAGAAGTACGTCGGAATACACTGCACGCAGGCGTTTGAGGTGAGAACACCATTCACCAGTCACCACTCACACCACTCACTACCACACTGGGTGTAGATCAGCCCATTGGCCCAGGATCATAGCAGTCTTGAAGTAGGGGTGCAGCAGTCTGTCCAACCTTGCCACCATTCCAAAGCAGGACACCCATAACTATACTACCGTTATCATTATAAGAATAACTGTACAAAGGTATTTGTCTCCCATGTAAATGTACACAAAAGTTTTGGTCCAAAACAGGCAAAGCAGGACGGACGGTCGCACAGCCTGGGGGTGTCAACGAGTAGTAGGGTACCCGTGCTACCTGTTATTTGATCGGGTAGTAGGGTACAAGGCTGTCACAGCCGGAGCGGCTGGGCGACTTTTTCGGCCGATTTTTTTTTTTTTTGATGCTGCATGCACTGCATGCACTGAACGTGTGAACACTCGAAAGCGCTCGCGAAAAAGGTCTCTCGCCTCGTTCACACCACTCGGGCCAAAGCACAAGTCCCAGTTACCATGGTTACAGGCCAGTACATGCCCAGCGTCTATGTTTCCACACTGTAGTAGTAGTAGTAGATCTACACAGTGAACAAGTGTACGTACTTCCACGCACCAGTCGTGTAGTGTTACCTGGTGCCGATTTCGGTCTCGCGGGCTACACGCTGATCTACGGAGAGCACCCAAGGCTAGGCAACCGTAGCCTGCGACACGCTCGTTTTGGCTCTGTGGAGGCGTTCGGGGATCACGGAAAGCTGAATTTGTTGGCTGTGATGTTGGTACTTTCTGTTTCGAGAGTACCACTTCAGGATTTTTCCCTTGCCCGTTTTCTGAGGACAGTTTGTGCCGGCAGATCAGTAGCTGTTTGAGAGTTCTGTGGGAGTTGATTTAGACTATAAAGTTGTTTTCAGCAAGATGTCCAATCCCTTGCTGCCAACGCCGACCGTGGGAGATAAGCCTTGTCAGCCGTCTGCGTTTGCTTTCCCGCAGCGCGAGTTCGGAAAGTCGACGGTGGTGAAGCGGTCGTCTCAGCCCCAGTGGCTTCAACGGTGGCAATGGCTGCACTATGAGCAGGACAATGACTTGGCCGTTTGCTTTACGTGTGTCCGCATATAGTAAAGGACATTTGAAGACGGCTAGCTTGTTGGAGAAGGCGTTTATTTCCTCCGGTTTTAGTAACTGGAAAGACGCCAGCGCCAAGTTCACGAAGCACGAGAGCAGTCGCTGCCACAGCGACGCTGTTCTGAAGCTGATCTCGATTCCTGCTTCTACGCATGACATTGGCGAGCTTCTCTCCCAGCAGCTCTCAAAAAGAGCGTCAGGACGCTAGAAGATGTTTCTTCAAAATCGTTTTGAATGTGAAGTTTCTCGCTCGATAGGGTCTTCCTTTGCGTGGTGATGGGGGTGAGTTGGACTCTAATTTCATGCAGTTGTTGAAACTGCGCTCCCCGGATTTTCCGTAGCTAACTTCATGGGTGGAGAAAAAAACTGACAAGTATGTGTCTGGAACAATGCAGAATGAGCTGCTGAAGACAATTGCCATGCGTGTCATCCGCTCAGTGGCACAGTTGTTCCAGCAGATGGCATTCGCAACTGTGATGGTCGATGAGACTGCAGATGTGGCCAATGTGGAGCAGGTTCAACTGTTGTGATCTGTCTTCGTCGAGTTGACGATGCATTTCAAGTCCACGAAGAGTTCATTAGCCTTCATGAAGTTGGTTCCACCAGCGCAGAGGACATCTTCCGCGTGGTTCTCGATGTCCTGCAACGGCTTAATTTGCCCACAGCTAAGCTGCTTGGACAGTGCTATGACGGTGCAGCATCGATGGCTGGCATTGGCTGGCATACGGTCCGGTGTGGCCAAGCGTGTGCAGGATATAGAGCCATGAGCTGTGTTCACCCACTGCTATGGTCGCAGCCTTAATTAATCTTGCCTGTGGAGACACCATCAAGAAGTCGAAACTGATGAAAGATGCTCTGGACACACACGAGATTACAAAGCTAATCAAGAAGTCGCCACATCGGGATGCTGAGTTCAGAAAGTTGAGAGATCAGCTTGCCAGTGATTGCCCGGGTATCCGTGTTCTTTGCCCTACGCGGTATACGGTGCTTGCCGACGCGCTGAAGAGCATAGTTGACAATTATGCCATTCTGCAACAGCTGTTCGCCGAATCTCTCGACTACGTCCGGGATACGGAGACGAAGGCCCATATCCAGGGAGTTGCAAGTCAAATGCGCAAGTTTGACTTCATGTTTGGTGTGGCTCTTGGCTACTTTATTCTCCATCATAGTGACAATTTAAGCCGCAACTTGCAGCGGGACGACATTTCAGCAGCTGCAGGCCAGGAAATTGCCTGCAACCATTAACCAGTTGGTAGGGTCCCGCTCTTGCGACCACTATTATTATTATTATTAACTTTTATTTCACTAGGTGTTTCCCACAGACCTATGGTCTTCTCACGGGAGCCCCTAGCCTCAGGAAGGTTAAGCATGAGCGAATAAATGAGCGGTAGTATGTACAAGTGCGAACAGTGGAAGGCAGCATATTCCACCGGTCAGCAGCGAGATAACCAATCTGCACAACAGCGGTATGGGCTGTGCCCCGGTTCTGACCCTCTGTATCCTGACATCACTGTACTTGAACTATACAGTAAAACCTGTGACGGCGACCACTCGGATAAGGCGACCACCTGTCCTAGAAGACCACTGAAACCAGGACCAAGGGATGCTACTTCCGGTAAAAATGACCCTGGATAAGGAGACCACCTGGTAGCAGAGACCACGTTTTGAAGGTCCCTTGAGCAGTCGTCTTAGACAGGCTTCACTGAACGTGTCACCGTTGTGTATGCTCAGCAGCATCCGTACCGTGTGCCGGGCATCAAGGGCACATGCACGTGTACGTCGAGGGCCCCGAAAATGCATTGTGGGTCGTATTTCAGTTTTCACCCAGCACAAACGCACGGTCACGCGAGCTCATAGTGAATAGAGTGCACAGTACTGTCGGGCGCCGAAGAACTGGGGGTCACTCAGGGTTCTAGCCTAGCCCGTTCTTATTTTTAGCGAACACAGCGGTTTCATTCTCATTCGATGGTACAGTCTTACATGTACATGTATGCAGAGTTATACGTCTGAGTGTACATTATAGTGTACATTACGGTTTCCGGTTTTATCTTCAAAAAATCCAGCCTACACCGTTCTTAAAAAAATGGTGAAATTCTAGCCTGGCCGGCCGCTCTTCGGTGCCCGACAGTACTGTAAACTGTAAATTAGCCATTCAGAACCGTAATGACTCATTTCATGCATACATCCGGCTCAATGGCCAAGTGGTAAGGCGTCGGTCTTGTAAACCGAAGATCGAGGGTTCGAACCCCTCTTGAGCCTGGTTAATTCTTTTTTTTCTTCTTTTTCACTTCTTATCAACCACCACACCACACCGCTGCGCTCTCCAGAATCTGGACAAGGCCGAATGCTGCTACTTACCCCTCTTTTTTCACTTCACTGACGATTTGGTGCTTTTCTTCTTGATTTGAACGAACAACATGCAGTTCTTTCGAATGTTTAGACACGCCTATACGCAAGAATACCATGGCTACCCACATCCGTATATGGCGGATCTGCAGATGCTGGCCAGCGACAGGATTCTCACGGTGCACCACCTTAAGGAGCCGCATCTGATGTACCGCGTCGCCGCCTTCTTCCAGGAACGGGTCAGTGTGCTTGGTGTAACGTGCGCCGGCATGCGTGTGTGCATGTGCATACTTGTGTGTGCATGTGCATGCTTGTGTGTGTGTGTGTCTCCCCTGTACCACACAACCGTGATACTGTATCGTACTACTGTCAGGCAGCAAATACTCGGCACATATTTATTTTCACTAGTTTGAGGGAAAGACACAAACGGGAAATGTCTGAAGAAAAAATTGACTGTCACCACCAGGACTCGAACCAGGGACCCTCGCATATTAATTTTCGATTATTTTTTGGCCTGGGCATCCTTTGGCCTAAAATGTACTGTGGCTGAGATTTTGCTTTGCAAGGTTCAGTGTGACAGTGCATACAGGCAGCAGCAGTACGAGGTTAACAGCAATTTCCGGACGTAAAAAATAGCATAGAGCCCCACTGGCTGTGTATTTTACATTTTTCATATCTTTTCGTATTTATTGTATGGCCAAATCCTCATCTTTCCAAATATGTGACAATTGCTCATGCTGTGATCCCGGAGACTTGATAGCAGGACGTTTTGACAGGCTGAAATTGTAATGTGGCCGAAATCTGTTTTAGCCTAGGGAGGCCGAAATTTAAACGCGCAGAAAATTGGTAGACTTAAAGTACTCCTCGCCCAGGTACTCACATGTGCTTTGACCCCTTCACACAGGAACTTGCTGGCGGAAACACGCTCTGGGTATGAACGCTATAGTTAGATTTTTCCGCGGCTGGCGTGTTCCTGTCCCGCCATCCAGACGTTCCCGCGAGTGTGAACGTACCCTGAGGGGCCATCCAGCCGGCACTCTCGACACTTTTCACTTTTCAGGAAACGAAAAAGTTTAGTTATGAACTTATGACACTCCCCTACCCACCACTCCTGAATAAAAAAATTCCGTCCATTACATTGACTTGACATGTAGAATGGATTGCTGTTTCGGACTTGAATACTTTTGAAAACGAATTTGGCCTCGAACCACCCACGAGCGAAAGTGTTTTGTTTCATGTATGAGACCGATAAAACATGCGTCTCTTTCTTCTCTCTACCTGGCTGTGTCTTTTTGCTCTCTCTTTCTCTCCCTCTCTCTCTCTCTCTCTCTCTCTCTCTCTCTCTCTCTCTCTCTCTCTCTCTCTCTCTCTCTCTCTCTCCATACACAGGCGATATCCAAGCTGCAGACTACAGCAAAGAAGATCGTGGCCACCATGGAGCAAGAAGAGGAGTTCATCAAGAAGCTCAACATCAAGCTGCCGCCTGTCCCTCCGCTGGCCGCGTTGCAAGGAACGGCGTTTGCGAAAAACACGTCCAACAGCCCGCAGGCGGCCACACTGCAGTTCGCTGCGCAGAAAACATTGGAGTTACGTGAGCTCCTGGGTGGCAGGACTGGCCGGAGCTCGCAGGTGGTCGAGGCAGCACTGCCGCTGTCCGCCACCCAGCCTGAAGATTACAACAGCGACCCGTCGCGCTTTCTGGCGGCCAGCGTCGTACGCAGCAGCGTGACGGCGTTCAAGCGCTACGCTAAGTCTAAGTCGTCCGCGCCGCACCTGGCGTGGTGGCAGTGCGGGCAGGACGCATCCGCGTTCAGCGGCGCCTGCAACATCACTCTGGACTACGGAGGAAGCCGCACGTACGGGCACCGACAGGTCGATGCCGTGGGTGGCGTGGGCCAGCCGTCCGTCACGCTATCCAGGCGCGTGCCCGCCCTCGGGCGAGTACTCATCATTGTCACGTGCGCCTCGCACCCGGACACTGCCGCGTCTTTGCTCGCGGCGATCAAGTCTATGACGCCACCGCCATCGGCTACTGGAACGGCGACCGTCTTCCTCGCGCTGTGCGCGCACAAGGAGACGCTGAAAGTGACCGCCGCCCACAAATCACTCAAGGCCACGCCGGTAACCATAGAGACGTATCAACGCTCGGCAGGATCCGTGATCGGCGACATAACCAATGGATACAACGCCGTGGCAACGCGTCATGGCGACAAGCTGAAACCTACGGACCTAGTTCTGATCATGCATCAGCTGGCGCAAGGCGTGACCTTCCATTCGAACTTCATACCATCATGCCATGCCCGCTCAAGCAAGGACGTGATCTGGTACTCAGTTCCGTTCGATAGCCGTCATCATCGCGTTGGAAGCCAGGGTGTGTCGGCGTGTCTGCAGCTGGGCACATTTAAAAGCCTGCTGAAGGTCCTGCTCAAAACAAATGCTCCTCGGCCCACCGACTTGAATGATCTCCGTGGAGTGGTGAGTAAAGCGGCAGCGAGCATGTCGCCCAAACTCACCGTGCAGCGCGCTGTGGATGCTCTGCTGCACGTGTGATGGTCAGTGAATGACTGCCCACAGCCAGTGGCAGTGTGCAGTGTGGCAGCAGGCATACTATACTCAAGTCACAGGACTGGTCGCACGACCGGTAACAGGATAGGTCACGTGATGACTAATCACATGACCAGTGATTAGTCATATCATGACCAGTGATGAGTAGCCACATGACTAGTCTAATGAACAGTGAGATGACTAGTCACATGAGAAGTCACATGACTCCTAACATTACATGAGTGATCACATGACTAATAACAGCAGTGATCACATGACTAGTAACAGCAGTGATCACATGACTCGTAACATTACATGGGTGATCACATGACTAATAACAGCAGTGATCACATGACTAGTGACAAAATTAGTCACATGACTACACTGGCATCATCAGAGAACCTGTAAGAGCAATTCATTAAAAAAAAAAGAAAGCTGCTAGCTCTCTGATGTTTACTTTTTTGTTTGTTTTTGTTTTGTTTGTTTTGTTGGTGACATCAATTTCCCCACCCACTGCAGCTGCCAACGATATTATAGACCTGCTGTTTTCAGTTCTTGGTGTGCTTGTTCTAATATTTCGTATCATAGCATCACGGAATCCCCGATCGGCAGTATTGTACTTTTACTCCCGGACCTTAGGAAGCCATTAGCCCAGGTGATTACCCTTCTTGTTGTTGTTGTTGTCGTCGTCGTTGTTGCTGTTGGTTATGATTTGAGCTTTGAAGTGTTTTTAACTTTTGTTCTATGTAACACTTGTGTCCGTATTCGTGTAGTGGCAAGCATTCGTTTTCATTTCACACGTTTTGGCACAGACAGTACACTTCTTCTTCTTTACCTTCTTTACCTGCTCCCTTTGGCCAACCAGCTCATTTTTCTGTGGACTGTTGTTTTTATATACGGTAGTTGTACCATTTTTTAGCACTAGTAGCAGGGAGTCGTAAAATACCGGTACTTTACGACTCCCTGACTAGTAGTTTTCTACACTTTCTTTTTAGCTTTCTCCCTCTCTCTCTCTCTCTGAATTGAGACATAGCTTAGGGCACTAGGTGTAGACGAACTAGAGAGTAGAGAGTGAACGTTCTCTTTGAGTAGGGATGTAGCCTACGTCCTCCCATGTTTTTGTTGTTATTAATTTTTTAATTGTCCGCAAACTCCAACGCAGCCACTTACACATTAAGGAAACTTCACTGCTCAACTCCAAATTTCCATTACACCAAATTTTTGGGTAATTAATTTATTATTCGAACCGCAGTGAAGAGACCGTTTTGGAGTTGAGAAGTTTTTGTTTTTTTTTACAGTGGGCATGATAACGTCCGGACATCGGACATTTTCCGGACGTTTCTTTTTTTGAAAGCTGACGTTTACGTTTATATAAATACCAGAAAAATAATAATATGTAGCGCAAAATAAAGAGAAGGAAAATAATAACCGGTCAAGCGCTAAATACAAACAGAAGGAAAAGAAATCATAAGCCAACACGCGCTAAACTGCGCTTAAATTATATTGGAGTTGAGAAGTGAAGTGTCCTACAATACTGTTACTTTTTACTTCGAAGTAGGTGAGAATACCATGCTCTGTAAGTACTGCATGCAAGCAACTTTGAAAATACGGCACATGTACCTCTACTTTCCACCTCTCTATCAGTAGCATGACTATTGTACAGTAGTCACACGCTGAAGAACGTGGAGACCAAGAACGTCCAGCCTGAAATGATAAAAACGCCACAGCCTAAAGTTGAACGTCGGTGTTGGTTTTGTGGGAGCTTGTGGGATACATACAGTAGAGTCGCACGCCCAAGAACGTTGTTTCCAAGGGGTTAGCCTAGGACGTTCTTATTTTTTTCAGCAATCTGGCCGCGTTCTTAGAAATATTGGATATTGGATCATACAGGTCGTCCCCCGTTAATACGAGTCCGGTTAGTACATAAGAAATCTCAAGTCCCGGACGAAACGTGGTCACTTCCATACAAATGTTGCCGGTTAGTACATAACATTTCTCCGTATCCGCATGTCATCTACCTCAATAGTACATAATATGTGTTGGTCTTTTGGCCTTCCAATGGAGGCACATCGTGTTCTAGTTTCTACTTGTGCAAGTTAGTTGTGGACGCAATTAGCTCAGAAATCAGAGCGCACATCACAAACCAACAAAGCTCTGACTGTATAGACGCGGCTGGGCATGTATCATGTAAACTGTAGAATCTTCGCTAACTGTGACCGTTATAACATAATTTTTATGTTATATCGAGGGAATCAAGAATATCTCGCTGCCTAGTCGTGGTAGCAAGAAACACTCAGAAAAGTTGAAAAAAGTGAAATATTCTGGTACACAAACATGTTATGTACACTTTCGTTTAGTACATGAACCCCGTTAATACATAACATTTGTCAAGTCCCAGAGATTATGTATTAACGAGGGACGACCTGTAACAAGTTATGTATCCTACGAGGTGATTCGCAATTTTTGGACATGTCGCAATTTTTGGACAAATCAGTTAAATGTGGAAGTAGAGTCCTCCTGAGTCGTTGTCCTTTCCTTGGTGGACACATTTTTGACAAGAGTGTCTTCGTGTGGTCCTCAAGTTTCTTCCTTCCTATTTTTAGCGGCGAAAGTCGTTTCTTTCTGGGCGTTTTCTTTGCTATTCTTAGGTAATGTATTGAGTAATTTTGAAAATTTCGATTAAATAGTAAATAATGGAGGATTCCGTCGACTCTACGTCGCATGACGGAGAGAATGTCGACATGGGGGATGTTGTATCCCTTCCATCAACCCCAGAGACTACGTCTTCCACCTCGAATCCGCCTGGAAGAGTCTCCTCGTCTTCTCAGCCCGTGCGTTTGTGGAGGAGTTCTGGTCAGGAGAAATCTCTTTTAGCAGTGCGAGCGTTCCACTCACCTGGCACCAGTGAACACTTCCTAACAAAGAAGGACGCAGCGGCTAGTTAAGACGTTTTGCCCTCCTCTTTGCAAAATATGAGAAGGAGATGCGCCACACTGGAGTGCTCTCCTCTGTTCTTGAATATGACGTCCATGAAAACCCTTGAGCGACCCTTTAAATTGTGTGTCACATTGAAAGGCCTTGACAAGCTTGCTATGAACGGCCTGTCATTAGAACTCATATCAGCCGGTCTCATAGGCATAGCCTTACCCCACTTTCATGTCCTGTGCAAGTTATACTTGTCCCCACCATTGCAGACTGCTGCTAGATGCTATTTAATTTAGTTGTCCAATAATTGCTCGCATTGCGAAAGCAGTAAAAAAAGACGCCTTCGATCAGGTCAAGTTGTGGCCGCACGCTTCACCTTTAGGCCTTCAGGTGTGTGTGGTGGTGGTAAAGCATAAGTGTGCCAATAGAAAAGCAAGAAAAAAAATTAATTTATTTTACAAACCAACATAATAGGGTGCTATTTAATTTGAGTGTCCAAAAATAGCAAATGACCTCGTACAAGCTGCCAGAAAACCAACACCGCCGTTCTTAGATTTAGGCTGTGTTTACATGAGAAATTTCAACCCGGGTTGAAAGTCTGTACGATAGACAAAATAGGTGAGCGTTTACATGAAGACAGTTGACCGGGGTCAAATACTGATATGCCACCAAAAGTCCACTTCTAGACTAGAGTCCTGTATGGTCACGTGAATCCGTTCGCGCGAATTTTGCATGTGCACTTTGTGCAGTGCTGTTCAAACTGGCGCAAGATACGCACAGAAGTACGTTTGTACAATTTTCTTGACCCGGGGCAAGCGCAATGAGTCATGTAAACGCGCCATTCATTTGGTGTACATGGCGGGTTAAAATCCGACCCGGGTCGAAACACCTCATGTAAACACAGCCCGAGGCTGTGGCGTTCTTAGTATTTCAGGCTGGACCTTCTGGGGCTCCACGTTCTTCAGCGCGCGACTCTACTGTATAAGGACGGATTGTTGATTTTGCTGCGGAAAATAGCAGTCTTGACCGAAACTGGATTGAATATCCGGTGCACATTGTACTAAGGCAAGAATACGCACACTGGTTTAGCGTGTACTCGTGTCACATCCCAAACAAATTACACTTTTCAATGAAAGCCACTGAAAGCACAACTGCAGACACGACCACGCACACTTGGTGCAGCAATTTGACAAAAGCTCATAACACCTGACAAGCCGGATCTAAAACTGAATCCAGTGCGTACACGTGCATAGTTCGAGTAGAAATGTGCAAGGCCAGACAGAACGCAACCCAAGGCCAAGAGCAACAATCATGCCAACTCACAAGGGAGCCACCAAACGAGGGTGGATACAACAAATGACATAAAGAAAGCCCGGTCAGAATGCAAAAGAGAACACAATGAAATTCTCAGACCAAGTTCCACACGTCTAAACTGAGGTGTACAATGTACTCCGTACATGCACAATAGAGCACACGCACACTGGGAAAAGACAAGAGAGGCTGCTTCACTCGAGCAAACAGGTCACGATACAATCCCACCTCATACTAGAGCACTGAGGCAAAGCAGATACCAGTAGGCAGTATCAGGATAAATCTACAGCATGTCACCCCTTCTCGTTGACAAGCAAGACATGCAGTGGTGTGAAGACATATACAGCTGGTGAGCTGCATTAACAAAGCTGACAACCGAAACAAGACACAACACCAGCATGCCCACATGCACAGAACAGGCCAAGGACACCGCTCCAGGATTGTCTTTTTCCATTTCTTTTTCGTCCCAGACAAACAATTATGTACAAACAAGGACACCCCGCATCTAGTAGAAGAATCCGAGGATCTTGCCACCAGTCTTCTTGCGCTTTGCCTCCTCGTGGTCCATGATACCAGCGGACGTGGTCAGAACAAGGAAACTACAACAGAGAACACCACAAACAAACACACAGAGGAAGTTTTAGGCTAGTGCGAACAGTAAGACGAGGATAGGAAACATGACAGTATTTACTCAAAGTACGTGATTGCGGAGAACCGGAAACACAACTACACACGGGGCTGACACGATAAACAAGACGGCAGCAGCCATGTGTGCCAGAGGGCTTCGCTGTGCAGAAGTTTGTTGTACTGAACATTTGCTCTCCATATACATAACACAACGACTCCATACAAACTGGACATGACTACTTCTAATACGCCACAGCGAAACAGAAAGTACCCAGACTCCGTAGTACATGCTCAACCATAAAAATAGCTTGATACAGGGAGAAAGGACGGCACACCTTGGACCAGACAATAGCCCAAGATGGGCAGTAGAAACCCACTTCTGCCACACCAACATAACCTCACATGCAACATAGTTCATACATGCCAAGGTAGGCATGATCCAGCAGAGATACTGCGAAACTACCACAACACTGGATCTCTCTACGACACCCCCTGCAACTAGTTCCAAGTCAATCTAGACTGGCCCATTACGGCACACACATAGAAAATACAGCAGCGTGGTATATACACAACACGGGAACCCAAAAATGATGTGCTTCAGATACAGGTATCTGGTAAGTCTGAACCATGTCTGCCACAGTGCACACCACGGATGAACTATCTTAGACGCAAGCCACATGTTGGTCGGAATCTGTTAGAACCAATAACTCTCATGAAAGAAGTTAACCAATTTAACAACCGAAATCACCCCATGAATTTTAGAATAAACAGCAAACACTTACCCGAACTGACGAGATGGCAGCAAGTTGGTGGACCACTTCTCGATGCTGCGGATGTCAACGTCAAATCGTGGGCTGATCACACCACACTGTGATCAAACATGAACAGAGAGCCAATGGCACAGACACACATAAAGACAATGTACCACGTGAGTATTCATCATTTGAGGGTGTCGAAAATGGGAAAAAATCTGAAGAAAGTTGTGTATGCCACAACAAAGACTCTTGAGAGACCACTCAAGTGGCAAAAAGGAACTAGACACAGAAACTTTACAAAATCACACCATTCCCCACGGTAGAACTGAACAATCAGCGAAAATGGAAGTAGCCAAGCGGCCCTAATCCTTTACGTCACTAGCTGATTCGGTCAGTGCAAAATTTATTACTTCGGAGTATTAAAATGTTTTAATTTACAATTTCAAAAGTACCATGTGGAGAGCGGATCTGGAGAACAAGCTTACCTTGTTGAGGCGGCCGTTGAGGTGCACAACGATCTTGCAGGCACGGTGGTCGTCGATGATCTCGAACTCACCAATGTAACCTGAACAGAAACGTTACAAAAATAAATTATTTGATTTGACGATTTACGCAAAGTTTTTTGACAGGATCAAGAACTGAAGGCAGAGAAAGCAGATGAGATCGTTCATGATACATGTTTACCAACTCATTCAAACAACACTACAACCTATTGGTATCAAGCCATATCGTACGAACAAGTTCAAAATGAGAAAGTGGACTTACCATGCTTCATCATGACCTTGAGAAACTTTACAATAACCTTCGAGGAAGGCCTGATCATCACCTGTCTGTAACCACGCTTCTCAGCGTTACAGATGGCGTTCAAGGCATCGTTGAGTACATTGACCCGCACCATGATTGCAGGAGACCTACGAGAACAGGCAGGGCAAAGGGACAAGTCACCTCCATCAAGATCCCCTTCTTTCTTGCAAAATGCAGGAATACTATTTAAAACATTTGGGCAGGATTTCCTGAGCGATCCACGAACACAAAGGGCTAAACGCTAGCGTATGGGATCCGGCTACACGTTCCATCCATAACAAAGCTCAAGATTGAGATCCGAATTGTCCAACAGCGCAAGTACTGCCTCCATTGTGTCCGTGGATCGCGAATTCATCCTCCATCAATACAGTTATAATCCATTAGCGCAATGTACAAACGGCTCCAGAAGCCGACAATCTCGGCAGAATTTGGGCCAAAAACTCCGGCCCAATGGCCAGAGCAGCGTCGCAGAGGTCTCAGGACCACTGGCTACTCCATTGCTACAAACACTAAAAGGATTTATCGGAGAGAGAATGGACGTCTTACCTTGTCTGATAGACTCAAGGCGAAAAGGAAGACACCAACCATGCTATTTCGTTTTACGCATGCGCGTAAGAGAATGGCTACGAAATTTTTCTAGCGCCGCCGCCGCCGCGCTGCAGCGATGTAGAATGTGTGCAGTTTGCCGATCAATCTGCGATGCGTGGGATTAGCGTTGGCATGCACTTCTTTGCCACTTCAACTCTTGTAATTATTGTCTTTTGCCAAGTTTTGGCCTGTCATTTCCGTCTGGCTTTTTTTGTTTCTTGTCTCTGTTGGTTGCTGTACATACCGAGCCCTTTTGTAGTTGTGTTCCTGCCTTCACATCATTATTATTGTCTGAACTGTATCCGTGGATGAGCCTATGTCGATCGTATGTTGCACCTTTCTCTCGAATCGTCTGGAGATACTGTTTCATCACTGAAAACATCAGAATTCAGGATTGGCGAGATTCTGTGCCACTAGCCCCTGGCTTCTGCTGATTTCCGTCATCTCTGAGACTCTCTGTGGTGCTACACGTATGGAAGAATAGATGATATTTTGTCATGCTTCAGTTGCCGAGTACGGCACTGGTCAAAGCGGTAAGTCACTGTTTATAATAGTGCTATTGAATGTGAATATTTCAATCTCGTGAATCTGCAGTCTCTGAAGACTGGTGCTACATGATGAAGCACGCGAGCACATTTGTGTCTTTGCCTCCACAGCCAATGGCAATGTGGCTCTGCTGTATTCATGCACATATAGATCTCCTTGGAGCCACTACATGTATTATACGTGTTCTTGACGCCAGGTGTGCTCTGAAGTAGACTACAATGACTACAAATTACTAGGGCTGAGTCGGGTAGTATTAATTTTTTCTTCGGGTAGCACGGGTACCCTATTGGGTAATGTTTTCATGGTAACACCACAATGCACTCCTTCCCTTACACACTGGGTAGACATGCGGAGTATTACATGAATTTGAATTTGTCCACGTGCACTTTACATGAAGTCATCTGCTATTTCGGGTTTTCGGGTACTATTCTGTACCCGTCTACCCGAGGTCCTCAGGGGGGGGGGGGGGGGGGGAGTGCTACGTCACAGCCATGCTGGAGTCATGGATTCAGTCATTTCAGATGTGTAGACCACCCATGTTACACGTTTGGGTAGTTTCTTTCACATAACTCATATTCATAAGGTCAACGCATCCACCAGTAGAGACAAAGCTTTGGGTGCCCCCCGCTACTTACTTACAAAGGCCTAAGACCACTACTGTAAACTGCATGCCTTTTGTTTGCGACGTATTCGTGTCTGCTAATATTTTGCGAGAAGAGCATGACGTATTACGCGAATATTAACCATCGTGAAACCAAACTTCAACAGTGGGCGTAAGTGCGTGGGCAGTGTTCCGCGAAAATTTGCCATCGTAAACTCGCTGGTTGTGAGAAATCGTGAAAATTTAGTGACGCGAATATTGGGCGGTTTACAGACAGCACCTGGAAGTATGAAGTTGAAGACACCACTGCAGCTGTCCTTTTGGCTGAATTATAATATATTCATATTATTATGGTGGGAAAGACACACCTGGCAATATGGTGGCAAATACCCACACCCACACACACACTCTCTAGGCTGCAAAGCTCTGGCACAGCGCTCTCCTTCTCGCTGCCACCACCATCAGCTCGCTGTGCCAGAACTTTGCAGCTTATAGGGCTTGAAAGTGAGGACGTCAAAAACGACCAGGGAGAAGTAAGTTGACATCAGATTTCTATTTTGGATCCACTGACTCAGGTGTGACATTGCTATTGCCTAAGTATGTGGGTCCATAGCAACCCACTCATGTCGTATGCATGTGTGACTTTTACTTCGCCACCAGGTGTTAGCCAAATCAGTCAGTTTCACTGGCTACATCACGATCACCTTGCTGTGAGTAAGACCGCTTGAAATGTGCTTGGCCGTGGATCCATACAAAAACTGGATCCAGTTTTTGAATTTTTGAAATTGTTGCTACGCTGTGACGTAGCACTTTCAAGCCCTACAAGTGTAGAGTAGATAGCGTGTGTGGGCAGGCGTGTATTTACCACCATATTGCCGTTAAGTGCCTGAAAGTGGTACGAATACTGCTGTGCGTACACATGTCCAAATGCAGTGGTGCAATGGGAACTGGTCTACAATATAGGGCGCCAACGCTTCGCACGTTGGATTGGATTTCAAGCAGTGCAGATGTACAACATAGGAAGAGGCTGCCTTTGACACAATGCTTTGCATACAAGTAGATTTAAAAAGAAGAAGAAAGAAAACAAGATTATAATTATATTGACTCAGATGGAGAGCCAAGGATTAATTTATACAAAAGAAACTGGACCAAGGAACTACAAGTTACGCTATAATGTCCACTAACACCACCAGTTACTGAACAATCAGCTCATTATAGCGTAACTTGTAGTTCCTTGGTCTATTTTCTTTTGTACAAGATATATTTCTGTGAAATCTGACCTTTGCAAGAAATATTTCGGTGAAATGTTGCCTTCGTACCAGTCCAATCAGTTCAAATGGTCATAAAGACAAAGGCGCGCCAGCCGCACAAGGAAGTCTTTAAGAACAGTGTCCTCTGGCCGCACGGTGCCGATATTCCAATACTTTTCTATTCGTTTATCTGCAAAACACGATACACGCCTCAGCGTATTTAGCATGTACAGTCGTTTGCCAATCAGTTAAATCCGTGTCATTAGCCGACGTAAATCTGGTGATCGTTAGGAGTTAAAATACTGACATAATCTTACATACATGTTCCAGTAAATGCACTGGGATCAGTGATTGCCGCACATCGTCATAACTTCAAAGTAGCCAGCTCCTCGGATTGGCTCTCTTCATGTAAGGCTTAGCACCCTTTCCCTAGTGGAACTGAAGGCGCCTAAGTAAATGCACTGGGATCAGTATTGTACATCGTCAGAACTTGCAAAGTAGCCAGCTCCTCGGATTGGCTCTCTTCACGTAAGCACCCTTTTCTGACTGGAACTGAAGGCGCCTCACAGCCCAGCCTTGCATGTGGTGGAGAGCCGACCAACAGAGGGTTGTGATTGACTCGGCCGACCCACAAAGGGTTGTGGAGAGCCGCCCAACAGAGGGTTGTGATTGACTCGGCCGACCCACAAAGGGTTGTGGAGAGCCGACCAACAGAGCCTCAGAGGGTTGCGGAGAGCCGACCAACAGAGCCTCAGAGGGTTGCGGAGAGCACGCTCTGGCAACCCATGGCCGTGTATAGCTAGCTGGTCAGTGTTGTCACCTTTCTTTTGGTGTTAGTCGACGACCAAGCTCCTTGCTCTACATTGTTGTAGGTCAGGAGCCACCACTTTTTTTGTACACCATTGCTACTGGATTATCCCTATATTCATGATGCTAATTATTATGGGCCTGGCAAGTGAGCTCCTTGCTCTATGCTATGGTAAGTCTGGAGCCACCCCTTGGCGTACTCCATAGGCGTTGGGTTATCCGTACGGTATATTCATGATTTTAATTATTATGGGCCTGGCAAGACCCTGAAGGGTATAGTGCCGTTGTCGGCATTCCATGATGACCGGGTACGTGTCTGTGAGACGGTATGCCGATAACGCCCGGAATCCAGATTACGTCTCCGCCGAGGGACTGGACAATGTGCGGTGGAGTAGGCATCACAGCACCTCCGACGTGATTGCAGTGAATTGCCACGCGGTGCGCCCGTGCTGGGCGTCCGATGGCGGCACCGGGCCACCGTCAACGGCATGCTGCTGACCACTGTGCTGCTTTTCCTGCTGCTGCTCGGACGGCACAGTCCGGGTGCTGGCGCCTGTGCCTTTCATGCTGGTGCTGCTGTTGTCATCGTCGTCTTCTGGAATCCAGTTCATCCAACCCTTCTCTCGTTCAAGCAGCGCTGCAGGAAAGATGGGGAAAAGGCAGCACAGGGGAGCATACAGTCAACTTCGCTAATAACGACAAAATTTCCATGCGCAGAGCAAAGTCCCATCTAACTGTAATACATAATGAGACTTCGGGTATAACGACACTTCGCGAATAAGGACACTTTTCTGATGCCCCGCCGAGTGTCGTTATACGCAAAGTTGACCGTATCTAAAGAAAAGAAAATTTTAACATGTACAGTTGTTGCTAAAGAAATCCGACCCACGAGTCTTAAGTAGGGCAGTGTTTCAATAGATGACTTGCACAAAGATTGTCTGGGTTCGAGACGGGGCAAGTGGACCTTCTGACTCTGCACTTCCCCACCTTTTGAGTTCGTGACTTTCGAAGTTTCGCTTTTTGCCTGACGAACACTGTACTGAGCTAGTTTTTTTAGCTCGAGGGTAGAGTTGTTTTGATTCGACTTGTATCGGTCATGCCGAAGCGCTGCTGCGCTCCTGAATGAACTAGCAGACGAGAGATGGAACTGAGGCTCCCATTCCATACGTTCCTTTCCGAGCCGGCCGTTCGGGAGGCAGAAAAATGAGGGAATATTATTTTAGTATCATTGGTGTAGGCTGCAACAAGCACGTCGTGGTCCTGAAGTGTGACTACTTTCCCGCAGTGGAAGCGAAGTGAAGCACAACGAAAGTTTGTGGACGTCTGAGAAAGAACTCGATTCCCTTTCAATCGGCTGCACTAGCTCCAGAGCGACCCTCTCCTGAGGACAGACTGCGGAGAGGCCAGGAACCTGCCGAGTGACGAGTGGAAGCCTAAACCCAGTGTCTGCTCTACGATTGTAGGACAGCCGGGTACACGTGTACCTGGCGCAACCATTTCAACCGGGTCAGAGCCGGGTACACATGTACCTGGCGCCGTCTCACCAGCCGAGTCACATGCTTTAACTGGTTGGTTGGTTTATTTTAATTCGGACAATAAACGTGAACTAGGCCCAATGATATAAAGGCGAATGGATAAGCCGCATTTAGAAAAGAGAGGACAGGAATTAGAAAATTACGAAAAAAGAAGAAGTATCTGATACATACAAGCCATGTAGTCAGTCCTTTCAAAGTTCGAAAGACTAATGTAAAGTACCAACCGGGTCACAGGTGACCCGGTACTATATTTTCAACCGGGTCCAAGCGCCGCCCAACCGGGTGGATTACCCGGCTCACCCGGCGCTGGAGCAGACACTGAAACCATGAAAATGAAGGGTGGAAGGACTGAGTATGAGAGCCAGATGGCCTTTAGTAGTACTTCAAGTAGTATCTGAGTTGAAGGAGAGAACAAGTGTGCTGGAGAAACGCTGCGAAGTCCTCAGGCCTGATGTGTACTAGCTACTGTTGAAGTCTCACTTGTTCCGATATGAACATTTCATCAGCCCTTACTCTGAGCAGCTGTATCTAGACTTGGATCTAGGCCAGAGACATAGCATTGTTACTGTAGTGTTTAAACCGAACACGGATTCTTCGAACGAATAATCTATCGAATAATTTCACCCTCCATCGAACGAATAATCTATATTCTATCATACGCATGATGGCATTTTTCAACACTTTTTCCGCACTTTTTAAGTAGTTTTAATTTTTTTGTTGATTATCGGATTTTGTTATGTGGAGGTGCAAAACCGGTTAACCTGTACCGCCAAGAGTACATAACCCCCCAGAGTGTGCAACGCCTGATCTAGCTCTGCATAGGGTCTTGACTCTTGGTCGAAAGTGGTCAAAGACCGAAAATCACATTCACTGCATCCATGTTTCCCTCGTATGGAAAGAACAGAAGTAATACTAGATAACTAGATACCGATAGGAGATTAAAACTTGGAGGAGAAGAGATTGAGAAGAAATACTGCGAGCAGATCTACGCAGTGCAAATATCAGTAGGGTCAGCACTGAGCAAACACTGTAGATTTTTTTTTTCGATTTCTGATAATTCCTACGACTATTCGATTATTCATTCACCCCACGAATATTCTAAATTATTCGATTATTCGATTATTCGTTTCAACACTAATTGTTAGCCTTACTGAAGCCATATGTATCCGATGCCTGGCTCTAGTGAGAAAGCAGTTTGGCGCAGACTCGCAAACTATGATTGAATCAGGGAGTGGTGGAAAGTCACATTATACCTCTTCATGATTAGCTGGTAATGACGACGATGCAGCTGCGGCTGGGTCTCATGGGAAAGTAACTTGCATACCTGTTTAGTTGCAACGAGGCAACGGTACCCCATGTACTAAAGACATGATTGAACTACATTTCATCTCCTGGGAGAATGTGGAACAAATAATGCCAGAGTGTGTCTGATACACATCACAGTCTGCTGAGTATGTTCATTATTGTGGACGTAACATAACTGCGCTGTGAGGTACCTTCTGCGTTGGACCTACAGTTGACTCTTCTTACAAATTCCGCACAACGGTGAAAGGATTTGTTGGAGCATCATCAAACAGTGCATTCGCCTTCATCATACACTGGCTCCGTTGCCTACAGTAATTCACATCTTGACGGGGCGCGCTGGGACGATACGGAAGGAGCGGCGGGAACCATTGGAGTGCTCACGATGCTGGTTAGCGGAAACGGATGTGGGTGTCAGGAACGGGAACGCAACCGCACTACTGTACAGATCAGGAAGCGATGGAAGAGTTGAATCTGTTCAGCCTTCCATGCCGTGTACAGGGACACAAGCGTAAAAATGGCTACATTTCGAATGTGAACTGGCGATGGCATTGTGTGGCGACGAACACAACTGCAACTGTTCAAATTTCAGCATTTCGAACATTATGCTTCCCACCGAATGGCTCACATGACGGAGTTGGACATTACCAGGCTAGGATTATCATTTGCTGTATTTATGGATAGTCCTTGAGTTTTCAGATGAAGTGCTTTATCTTTTACCTGTCGTTCCTTTAGTGTGGCACAATGTCCATGGCTGCTTTCTTGTCTTCATAACAGACTGGTATAATCAGCATGATTCTGCTTTATTAGAGAAGAAATAAAAATTTCCTTTCGGAAAGGAAGCCCAGAAACGTCAACCCCCATGGACTGTGCTTTATGACTCTCGTCCATCGACGTTAACCGTCGCCAATAACTGCTGCATGTATGTTGTGCTGTGCGAACCGTACAAGATTTTAAACGCTCACCCACGCCTTCCCAACAGGCTCCTATATCCCGTACCGATAGCGTTACATTGAATATGAACTAGGCTAGCACAGTTATCCTTCGTTCTTTTGATGGCGGCGGGTAGCATGGAACTTGACGTGTTCTTGGGATCCTCGTGCAACACTTGCTGTTCCCGGATGCCATATTATTGGGTGCATCGAGGTTGCTTCTATGCTCACTGTTGTTTAGTAAGACAATTTTTTTATAACTATTTCACCGAAGAATATGGCAAGAGTATTTTGGGTTGGTTTGAACGCCTGGCTTCTCTTCACATATTTCCACTAACCCTACAAGTGCACATGACTCATGAGTGCTGAAGACAGTGACGGTGCACGGCATGTACATGTACATGCCGTGCACCGTTCATTCATGCTGACAAAAAAAGGACACTACAGTCTACGTGTAGGGTGCACGCAGTGTAGCCTGGGTGCACAGGGTGCACTTGCCCCGTCTCACTCGCGGCTCGGATCTTTGTGCAAGTCATCTATTTCAATCACATATCATGCACGGTCCCAAAACCCAACAGCGGGCCGCACGGGCGTTGGCGCTGCTTTCTGCCCATGGGTAGGATCGCTATGGCCACGGCTGTACTTCGCCAGCGTAAGAGCACACTGTGATATTGATTTTGTGCGTTTGTAGGTGTCCACGTGCATGTGTGTGTGTGTGTGTGTGTGTGTGTGTGTGTGTGTGCGTGCGTGCACAAATGTGTCTGTGGATATCCATGTACCCCGGTACGGGCAATACACTGGTGCTGGGCATAGCCGTACCCGGTACGGGTTAAACCCCGGTAAGGGGGGGGGGACCCAGGTGCAGGTTTTCCACAGCCTCTTTTACGGACAAAAGCAACATAATGATGAGAAACCAGGGTATGATAGGAAGATAATATTAATAATAGTACACAGGTGTGGAAAATATGTCTCCGGAATGGCGAGAGTTTTACATTAAAACACAACTGGTTTAGATCCGGCTTTCAACCACCGCCAGCTCCCTGAGCTCGTTAGCTGGACGATGGTATGCCGACCGAGACCCACGGATACACATGACAGCGGACCGGAGCAGCGCGAAAGACAGTCAGCAGTGCGCAGTCATATGCAACATGGTGTGCATAGGGCATGCTGGAATCAGCCGTGGCAAGCAAGCCCAAGGCCCAGGTGCAGGTGCAGGTGCAAGTGATATCCCGTTGTGTGTACTATTGGTGTACAAACACAGTCCGTTCATCGGAAAAGTCCCGCTGGCTTTTGAAAGTCCGATTTGGGCCGAATCGAGGATCAAAAACCCACTTAAATCTCAAAACTCTGAGTTTGGGATCTGCTTCTCCATACATTTTGCCATGGCATACCTGTCCTACTTTCGTAAAACCTGGCTGAACTTCTTTTTCCCTGCTCTTGGACTTTTCTCGCCTCAAATGTGGCAAGGAGTAATTGCACGGGTCACGCAATGAAGGATGTACTGTTGTTTTCACCATATCTACAAGTATATGCGGGAGACACCTACAAGTTAGGGTGCCAGTTTCCAATGAATGGACTGTTTCTGTAGGTGATGCTAGCACCCCGGTGCAGGCAATGCGCTGGTGAGGATAAAACCAGAGCTGCAGGGCATACCTTGGAAAGCACGGCAGCCAAAATGGGACCGGCATTCGAGTACCAGTAGGCTACATACTTTCCACCGATGGTGTCTTCGAAACACCGCGTGTCACCCTCCAGTACTGTCGGTCGCCGAAGAACTGGGGGGTCAGCCTCCTAGCCTAGACCGTTCTTATGTTCATGTATTACAATCCATGCACTGTTCAGGCACCGCGTGTACATTGGTATGCTGTGCTTGAGGAAATTCTAGCCTGGTCGTTCTTCAGCGCCCAACGGTACTGTAACTCCAGAATCGAATGGGGTATTCACACGCTAGGCACTTGCACGTTTTACAGGCAGTGACATACGAGAAAAGTGACTGTGTGGATTCACACAGCTGCACTCGACGACAGGCACGTATGCATTTTTGAATGCTTCACCGATCAGTAGCCATGGGTATTTCAAAATTTCAAAACACGCATACAATAATTATCTTGCTCTAAAGAGCCGCGTAAAAAATCAAGTCTTGTTTCGCGCTTTTTGGTGTAAATGTACTCGTGCACGCCACGATTATCGTGAAAGTGGGCCCCCAGCTCGCTTGCACTTTTCAGCCACTTTTCTCGTTCACAGGTAAAATACCATAGTAACTTTCCGGTGCACGTAGATTTGCCTGTCGTGTGAATACCCCATAACCTCTCCATTGACTACTAAACAAAGTAAAAGTAAGTTCGCACGTCCGCGTTACCACCGGCTATACTATTGCGTTGAGAAACACAACCAGCTTAGGAAGTTTCGCATGTGCCAGGCCACCACCATGCCTGTGATACCAGGGTGGCAGATGCAGCGCGTAACGGCGAGGCTGAGGTGGTAAGTCTCACAACCAATGCCGACAAGGGGGGGGGGGGGGAACCCCGTCAGCTGCATCCATGTTACCCTCATTGAGTACAGTCGTCCCTCTCTAATCCAGAACTTTATAAACCAGCACCCTCGATAAACCAGCACAATTTTCAGTAGCCAAAATGTCCTCTTCATGCATATTGCAGCAGTAAATCAGATTTGTTAATCCAGCACCGTCCCTAACCCAGCAGATTTCCATGGCACAAATGGTGTTGGATTATAGAGGGACCACTGTATATGTACCAACCTTGCCATTTCTCCAGTACGGCATTGTCAAACCTGTCCAGCGGTTCAGTGTTCTCCAGGTACTCCTGTTGAAACTTGGAAAGGTTTTCAGTGGATGCTCCTCCTCCGTCGCCGCTTTCGTTCTTTGGGTGTTCGTCACGGTTTGACTTGACGCTGTGCGATGACGCCAGATCGGACAGTGCTGCTATTTAACACACCGGGCAGCGTAGTGCATGCACACACGTGCGCGTATCAACGCATATGCACGTGCACACATATGCACATGCGCACACACACACACACACACACACACACACACACACACACACACATACACACACCGGCGTGTACCATAAAGTACCGCGAGAGCGTCCCACCTTGATTTTACAGCCAGAGAGAGGAAAATCGTACGGCAGAGTGCAACTAAGTTTGTACGGTGTGAGAAAGTAACTGCAACACGGTCACACTTTCCATGTTCTTGTCTGGAGCTCCAAGGTAAACTGCCGTGATCTCGAACTCGACAACATAATTATACTGAGTGTGTATTGACTGTGCATCGTACAACGTGTGTACAAGGTACGTTCCGTATGATCTACACACAGGACACCGCCTCTACAGGATGAGCACGAAAGGACGAGTTGGTGGGGTGCTCTCGCAATGCTTCCCAGTACGGTTCACGTGACAAACCTACCTCTTTGTCTAACCCATGCAGTCCACACAAAGAAGTGAAACAAATTCAAAGACCACTGTTAACAAATGTTGAAAGGACAGGGTGCAGTACAATCATGTATAGATATGTGAGAGTGTGCAGCTCGGATGGGTTGGTGTCACGGCGAAATTCCGCGATTGCATCATTTCAGTGACGTGCGTACAAGCAGGATTCAAGCAGATCTATTTCTGCACAACTGCAGCTCAGTTGTACGCAATACGCGATGTAATCCCGGGATTTCGCCGCGAGACCAACCCATCTATAGACTATAGTACGGACACCCGTGCAGAGACGTCACAAGCTGCACACAGAACGTGGAGCCCAAGAACGTCCAGTCTGAAATACTAAGAGCCCCACGGCCTACTAAGAACGGCGGTGCTGGTTTTCTGGCAGCTTGTGGAATACATATGATTCAGTACGAATTGTTTCTAAGACCGCAGCCAGATTGCTGAAAAAAATGAGACCATTCCAAGCTAACCCCTTGGAAACAGTGTTCTTGGACGTGGGACTCTACCTGTACTCTACCTGTACTGTACTGTGTTTGATTCTTACCCTCGGCTGACGGGTTAGACTTGATGCTGGCAGCGCGTTCGCAGTGTCCCGCACCACCACCGCCGCCGCTATCCACAACATTGCCGGTGGGCCGCATCCTCGTCCTAATGCTGCTCAGCTGATAGTGTAGAGCACTGCTGAGAGAGTGAGAAGCAGCGGACATGATGCTCACAACACCGTCGACGACAACGTCATCACCGTCGCCATGGTAACTCCCGGCGTGGAGGCGATCGAGAGGATGGGTCGGCGCGGACGCGACCGAGGCAAAGCGGCTCCTGCGCTGCGCCGCCTTGGTTGTCGTTGTCGTCGCCTGTACAGGTCCGGCCGGGCCAGAGGACACGCGGCGCACGGGAGATTTCTGATGGCGTTGTTGCCGTGCCAACTGCTGTACATCTGCCGTTTCCGGTGCCTGCCATGTTTTGGTCTCACTGAGCGAGGAGTGGTTATGTCGCCTTGGCAACGTCGCCATTGCCGACGCTCCGTCCGTGCTCACCTTGCTCGCGTTTCTCGTCACGTGAAATGATCGGTACAGATTTCCGCCACGGACGGCGTGTTCCTTCTGAGGTGCCGCGTTTGGCGTGCGTGAAACCCGTTGCTTGAAGTAGGGACGGAGATGATGCGCCAGCGGGTGGACCAGGGCTACCTCCTCCAGCATTTTCCTGTTGACGTCTTCCTCGAAGGACGCCAGCCAGAGAAATAGCTTCTCTTCGCCGGTTGAGAGAACCTGCATGCACACGTGTAGTATAGCAGTCAGGTGTGACGCATGTCAAACAGATATTGTGCGCACGTAGGCATTAACAAGCAGGTATGTCCACACGCGCATGTGCACACACATACATACGCGCGCGCGCGGCACGCACGCGCGCGCACACACACACACACACACACACACGCTGATTACGACATCACATAACCAACCAAGACCGGTTCAGACACATCCAATAATTATGAGATCACTGCCTTGCAGAACTTGAGTATCCCGGTACATGTACCACTCCGTTCACTTCTTTGAAGAACAATTCCTCCACGTGGTCACCGCTACCTTCTCTGGCCAAACTCGCTGACCACATTAGTACCGAAGTGACTTCCAACTTTCACACTGATTCTTTCTCCCTGCTAAGTGCTACAGTTAGACCTCGCTTATCCGGTCCTCTTTTTATCCGGATCCCTCGCCATCCGCAAGAAAACTGTTGGTCACCTATTTACAGCTTATGTCATGCATACATACATTTTTGCATGTGCGTTCGATTATCTGGTTCCCTCGTATATCCGGATTTGTAGAAAACGGATGTGTGCGGTTAAGCGAGGCAGTCTGACTATATTTCCTTGGTCCAGATCTCAACCTGTGGTAGGGAATATTGACATCATACTGCATGAAACAAAATTCTACAGGCTGAAACCTGCCAATTACCTTCTTCTTACTTCAACATCCCTTCTGAGGAAAACTCAAGAGTCCCACTTTCTCCCCTCCTGGAGCGAGCAACGGCCCACAAGTATCAATCCTATCCATCTCTCGATGTGCCTATCCCCCCCCCCCCCCGCACTCCCGCACGCATGCGCATGCGCACACACACACACACACATGTGCGCACGCACACACACACTCACACACACACACACACACACACACACACACACACACACACACATACACACTTCCCCTCGCCTCAGACCTGCCCATCGCGGAAGCGATGATAGCGAGCAGCTATGTTAGACATAGCAACTTGTGCTGGGATTACACCATTCAACAGCTTGCAAGGCTGATGAATTGACTGCCAGCCACTAATTTTAGCCTCACACACACGCACGCACACACACACACACACACACACACACACACACACACACACACACACACACACACACACACACACACACACACACACACACACACACACACACACACACACACACACACACACACACAAACGAACCACTCCATTGTCTCTTACCCACAGCGCATGAAGACTATTCATCCAGCTGCGCTGGCACTCCGTGAACTGTCCCTTGGCCACGGGAAAGTTGTTGACAACGACAAGGAGAGGTGACGGCATCGCGTCTTCTCCTTCACCAGAAGTACGCTCAATCAGCTCAAGCGTGTATGCACCTCCATGTTGAGCGTCAGTTTCATCGAGTGTGTGCTGGGGTGCTGGACTGGCCTGGGTGACGGAATGTGTGTCAGAGTTCCCCGTGGGTGCTCGCACTGCAGAGGCTGCAGAGACTGCAGTGGTGGTGGTGGCGGTGGTGAAAACAAAGAAGAAATACGGCAGATGTCAATTGAATGGTAGGCGAATCTCGGCATAAAAGTTGATGCAGAGAGTATGTGTGTGTGCGTGCGTGCGTGTGTGCGTGCGTGCGTGTGTGTGTGTGTGTGCATGTATAATTATGCAAGTTAGCACTCATGTGCATGGAGAGAAGCTGCTTCTCTCCTTTCGACCATGTGATTCAAACACACACACACGCACGCATGCAGGCAGACATACAGACAGACAGGCAGGCAGGCAGCTTAGACAGGCAAAATGGCAGACGGGATACCCAATCAAACAGGATTGGCTAGAAAAATTGCAATGCTAAGCCCACACCCTCTACAAGGCAATGTGACAGGGTAACTCATCACGCCATGCCTCCTTCATCATAGACAAAATCTCACCACTCCACCATGAAACACGTGGGTCTCACTATTCCTTACCCAAGCTCACATGCACAAACACACATACACACAGTGACACACACACACACACACACACACACACACACACACACACACACACACACACACACACACATGCACACACACACGGGGCATGTCTCCTTCATCGCAGTCTATACCTCCCCAGTCAACCACTCCACTCTGACACACACACCCACCAAGCTCTCACTGTTCCTTACCCAAGCTGCCTTTCCGGCTACCGGTGGTCCTGCCGAACATCGTGTCAAAGCTGCTACCATTACCGGACGCCTGAGAAGACGCAGCGTCCTCGGCTGTCTTCACCGATGGCGCCTGGCTGCGTAGTCGGGAGTTGAGCAACGCGCGCGAGGCCAGAGGAGTCGCGCCCTTGACGGCGCGCCTGAATCTGCTCATCACGACGGGGCATTGGCTGTTGTCCGACAGCGGTAGAGGCACTAGCCCTGCTGGCACTCTGCCCCGTTCATTGGCGGCAACGGACGCCTGGTCGACGTAACAACTCGAGCTCGCCGACGTCGATGCATCGCCGGACGTTGTCGTAGTATCGGTGTCTACATCGTCGTCCTCTGTGCACACTTCCGCTAGCGGCGCCAGTCCTGTCGTCTCTATCAGCGGCAGTCGGCAACCGCCGGCCGGTTCTTCGGGAATTACAGTGCCACACAGCGAGAACACACTCTCCGCGTCTACAAGATCCACATCAAACTGGCGGCTACTTGTATCAGTGGAGACAGAGCGCTGTGAGTTGTTGCTGGTTTGCCGCCATCCACTGCCACTGCCCTGCCTGCACCGCGTCTCGCGGAAGTAATCCGGCGCGTCCAAATCGGTTTCGCTGCCCAGTCCTGAAGTCGAGTTGCAGATACATGTGCATGGTTTGATTTCACACGAGTCGACGCACAGGAAAACGCATGTATACAAGCGAACGCATACGTACACACACACACACACACACACACACACACACACACACACACACACACACACACACACACACACACACACACATGTAAGCACGCATGCGTGAACGCACGCACGCACACACACACACACATGCACACATATACACACACACACCACCACCACCACCACACACACACACACACACACACACACACACACACGCTCACACACGCAGAGAGACCAGCCGCAGACCCCGACAGTACCTATGGCAACGGCACAACCAGCGTGGGGTCTCCGTACGAACCCCACTCACTTCAAGCCTATTGCAAGCAGAGTTGAGGACATACTGTTGTGGACATGGAAATCCGGTCGCACGTCTAGCGGCCCCAGGGCGCTGGCCATGCAGCCGCGGATACTAGTACAAGTAAGCGGTACACACATGCATGTATGCGCTGCAGCGCGCCGGTCGCATCGGATTAACATGTGCACTGCATGCAACGTTCTGTACGCGCTGAGGGCGCCGGCCCAGGTCAATCGACTGGATTTCCATGTCCGTTACAGTAGTAGCACCCTGCTTGAATGCCTCATGCCAAACCCTGGTGTCATTTGAGATAATGTTTGAGTCTTGAGTAGTTATCGCAGGGTTCTAGCCAGGTCAAAATAGTAGAGGAGGGGGGGGGGGGCAGTTGCCCTGTAACCAATATTTCCAGTTTCAAAGTAACTGTCTTGCAATTCGAAATGCAACGAACGGAGCAAACACCTGCTTCATCCCAGACAGAATAATATAATTATATCAATATAATGTGCCTTTATGAACCCTCCTAGTACAGTCAGACCTCGCTTATCCGGTCCTCTTTTATCCGGATCCCTCGCCATCCGGAAGAAAATTGTTGGTTACCGATTTACAGCTGATGTAAATATTGTGTTGCATTATAAAACATTTTTTTTTACAGCTGATGTCATGCATACATACAGTATGTGTGTTCGATTATCCGGTTCCCTCGCCTATCCAGATATGTTTGTGTAAACGGATGTGTGCGGTTATGCGAGGTCTGACTGCACTGACTATCGACTGCATTTTCGTTGAACGGTACGAAAAAACACAATAATCGGAAAATGAATAGGGGGGGGGGGGGCACTTTTTCACTGCCCCCCCCCCCCCCATTTGGCTAGAACTCTGTTATCGATTAGCTGCTTACCGAAGTTACTGGCCATCATTCCGCCCCTCCGACGCGAACCTCTAACCGCAGACCGTCGCGACGACGTGCATCGGTATCCGCTGCGGCGACGGCGACGCGACGACGTCGACCTGCTTGATCTGCCACCTATGGGCTCGCATCGCGTTGCAGCGGGGCGCAGTGGGGTGGGAAGTGGCCCTCTGGAAGCTGAGCTCCTGGACCATCGACGTCCACCCGTCCTCCTGAACAAGCCCCAGCGAAACCTGCGGACGGATCCGCATCCGAATAGGGAGCTCAACCGAGTCGCTATCCAGGCCAGCGCTCGACGCACGCGGCTTGGACGAAGTGTAGGCCCGAGCAGTCCTTGTTGCGATGGTCGATGAGTCTGGATAGTGGAGGGGTCGGGGTCGACGCCTTGCTCGGTGTTTGCCAGCCATGGCGCTGCTGCTGACTTCCCACTGATGATGGTGTGTGCAGGCGGCCGCAGTGCGCCGTTCCCACTACTCGTGGCTACCTCACTCTCGTCCTCCGCTTCCGCTTCGTCTTCTCCTTCTCTGCCCGCTGAGTCGACCGATAAAAATCGGTAGGCTGACGCTTTGGATAATCCCCTGTCCGCACTGCGGTGTCGCGATCCACCAGGTAGATCTATGTCAGACTCTGAACACAGTGAGTCTGCCGCTTGCTGGGCATAGAGAGACGGCGTGTCCTTCGCTACAGCTCCATCAGTCCTGAGTCGAAAGCGCACCTGGCTGTTTGAGCCGTATCTTGCCGTTTCCCACAAACCTGTGTCGGCTGCTTCCTTTTCTTGGGTGTCGTCGCTCCGCTCCTTCGCAGATGCCTTGCTCGCCGGCTGGGGACACCGAACAACTTTGCTCGTGCTCTTTGCGCGTCCACGCTTGTCGCTGCATGTACATGTACCGAGTGGCGGAGCACAATTATTCGGACACAACCAACCGCCATGGTGTGTGTAAGGGCCATCGCTAGCCAGCGCTAGCGGTCCAGTGTCGCGCGAGGTACGAGAATGCGTACTAGTACCGGTGCCTCGTCGGCTGTGCCGTGCACCGGGGAAAACCAGAAGCCTTCCGATCGCGCCCGACGAGACCGAGCCAGCAGCAGGAGTTGGGGGGCAAGTGCGAAGCGGACTGCACTGTTGATCATCTGGTGAGTCGCCGCCGTCGACGTCGGCACCAGTATCAGGAAACGTTACATTTCCCGGCTCCGATTCTTGTTGCGTGTGATCATGGTGATCGGTCCCGTCTGCAGTCTCTTTCTCTACAGATTCTTCTAGATCGTCGTCCTTAGCCGAATCAAGGCGCATCGAGCGATGGAAGGCTTCTAGATCTGTGTCGTACAGTGTGGTAGCGAGCAGGTTCTGGATCGCCGAGGCTTGCCTCTCCGAGCCTGTAGAACTCCTGGGTCTCGCGCGGCTCTTCTGGCTGCTGCGGCTGAACCTACTCTTCATCTTTCCGGCAGAAGGTGATCCAAGCACAGAGAAAGAGTCCCCGTCCGTCTTGCTTCTCTCCGCGAAGCTCAGGCAAGGAGGAAGGGAAACGATAACCTGCGAAATTATTTTGCTGCTTCGTTCGGCTAGACCAGTAGCACCGTGGCAAGTCGAGTGGATGTCACGTCCCTGTACTGACGACTGTACTCGACTGTCAACTGTCAGCAGCAGTGTGTACGTGATGCAGACTTGACTATTCTACTGTCCTGATGAGTGATGTCGATGAGCGCACTACGCCAAAGGACCTCGGCTCGGTACGTGTGCTTTCTCACTGACTGTACCCTAGTGGCAGTAGTGGTGCTCTATGAAATCCGGTCAGGTGAGTTGCATTCCCTGGACCTGCGAGCATTGACTGACAGCAAGAGTACACAACGCCCCGGAGTTATGTACTCTTGCTATCAGTCAGTGCTCGCAGGTGGTGCAGGTAAGACTCGTGTGATCGGATTTCATTGAGCAGCACTGTACCGTACTTGTTCTGGCAAGTGTCATGCATTCCGTGTACATCTACGTCAGTACGTGTGTGTCTGTCCTGCTTAGCACATGCCATGGGATATCATGGATATGGAGAGGCCAGAGTCGACTAGTCGTAGAACTAGAACTAATACTTAGTAGAAGGCTGAAGTGAAGTCCCAACGGACCGGGGCTCTGCCAACCGTGGATGGTTGTAGTAAGGTCACTGTTTCCGAATACAGTGTCCTCCACCTTGTTTCATGCCGTCAATCTAACAACAAGGCTGAACCTGTGTACCATGGTGCAGACCTACGCCTTCGGGGGCACACTTTTTCATGGACTAGTCAACGACTTGTTGAGTGCGCTTGAGCGTCGAGGTGTTGCGCTCACCTGTTCGTTCCGAAGTTCGGCGCCGGACAGATTGTTTTGCTATGCAATGCCGTCAATGATGTCAATGACGTCCATACACCACCACAACTGACTGCTGGTACAGTGGTAGTGGTAGACGATCTAGGCGCTTTGTAGTGAACACGGTGCATGCCCTGTTATTGTCCACAGCTTGTACAGAGCTAGTGCATGACGTCTTTCAAGGCAGTGTGACTGTGTGAGTGTGTCCCCTCGCCAATTGTGCCAAAGTAAAGCTGTGGTATGTAGTCTCTTGTCTATGTTAGTACATTGTACTAACATAGACAAGATTAAGAGACTACATACCACAACAAACGGCACAAGGCGAGGGGACACACTCACACACTCACACACTCACACACTCACACACTCACACACTCACACACTCACACACTCACACACTCACACTGCCTTGAAAGACGTACATGACTGTACAGTAAAACCTGTAACTAAAGACCACCGTGACTAGCGACCAGCCTGGTACTACAGTAAAACCTGTAACTAAAGACCACCGTGACTAGCGACCAGCCTGGTACTACAGTAAAACCTGTAACTAAAGACCACCGTGACTAGCGACCAGCCTGGTACTACAGTAAAACCTGTAACTAAAGACCACCGTGACTAGCGACCAGCCTGGTACTACAGTAAAACCTGTAACTAAAGACCACCGTGACTAGCGACCAGCCTGGTACTACAGTAAAACCTGTAACTAAAGACCACCGTGACTAGCGACCAACCTGCTACTACAGTAAAACCTGTAACTAAAGACCACTGTGACTAGCGACCAGCCTGGTACTACAGACCACTGTGCCAGGCATGGACGGACGGTCTCACGTTCATTATGGTTGTGTGGTGCAAACCTCTAACTAAGGACCACCTGCCACTAAAGACCGCTTTCTCTGCCCCCCCCCCCCCCCCGAGGGGTGGTCGTTAGTCACAGGCTTTACTGTACAGTGAAATCTGTCTAAGACGATCGCTCAAGGAACCTTCAAAATCGTGGTCTCTGTTGCCAGGTGGTCTCCTTATTTAGGTCATTTGACTGGAAATAGCATCACTTGGTCCTTGCTGCAGTTGTCTTCTGCGATAGGTGGTCGCCTTATCCCAGTGGTTGCCTTGACAGCTAGGTTTTTACTGCAGTGTTCCTGACTGCGGCCAGAGACCATGGAGGCCGGTTGGCAGAATCCTGGCTTTGCGCCGGTTTGCGGCCATATGGACCAGAGAGAAGTCGTTGTACACGTCGTGTACAACCGGTGCTGTGCTGCATACAGTATCATGCGCAAGCTCACGTTAACGCCGAGACCATAGCCTAGGTCGGTGTTGTGGGCTTGCCTCACCAGCACAGGCTTGCTTTGCAGCCCCTACTCTCCCTGCTATATTGTTATTGTATATTCTGTTGCCTCCCCCCCCCCCCCCCCACTTCTGACGAGTAGGTTGTGTACTTAGTAGATATAAAAAAATAAAAATCTTTATTCAAGCTCAACAAAATGAGTGTGGCGTATTGTGCTACTCCCTGGTATGGTACAGCAGACCACCGGTATTAGCCAGGGAGCTCTACACGTACAGCAAAACATGTCAAGGTCACCACTCGGCTAAGGCGACCACCTGTCCAAGAAGACCACTGCAACCGGGACCAAGGCGTTTTCATTTCTTGTTGGCTGAGTTTTACGAAATAAACAAGAAATGTTGTTCTTTTCGAACGAACAGGTCTGGGACCGAGGTCCAACAGTTTTGGGCGTACTGGTACGCCGCAGTCCCTCATCTTTTGTTTTCTTGCTTTGCAAGCTGGTTGCCTTTTTCTGGACTCCCTTGATTTCGTCAGTCGTAGATCTACCTGCCTTTCCGTTATGCCTCCAAGGAAATCCAAGGCCCCCTCGGCAGCGCAGCTGGTACCTCCAAGGAAAAAATCCAAGGCCCCCTCGGCAGCGCAGCTGACCGTGGAGCTCAATGCAATGAGGGAGAAGTTTGAGGCGGAAAAGGAAGAGAGCGCCCTGAGAATCAGGCTCCTCGAGGGACAGCTGGAACGGGGAAATGAGTCGTCCTCGTCCAAGCGTAAACGCCGTAATGTTTCTGTGTCGTCGTCGTCTTCATCTTCTTCGTCATCATCTTCTTCATCGTCCTCGTCATCAGATTCGTCTGACTCGTCGGATGACTCCCGCCGGAAAAGAAAAACCAAAAAATTCAAAAAATCGAAGAAGTCGCGAAGATCCTCCACCTCGATGTCAGCGCGAAAGTGGAAGACAAGGTCTTATGAAGTGCAGCACGGCCTGAATGAGCAGCTGCAACGCCAACTCAAGAAGACCAGGCGGGACCTGCGGAAGCTGAAGGGTGGCCGAAGTCTCTCTAAGAGGCTCAGAAGAGGTGAGTCGTTGCTGTCTGCTAGACAAGAATGGTTGGTGGTGGCGGATGTGCATGGCCACGAGGCGGCCAGCAGGTTTCAAGAGGGGGGTGAGCTGGTCGACATCCTGTCGTCCTCCGAAAAGTCAAAAAAGCTAATCGCTGCGATTCAAAGCACGAAGCAAAGAGCCCCCACTGTTAACGTTAGGCAGCCCTTTCGTGGCAGTGCCCCAGCCACCTCGTCCAGGAGCTGGGGCAATTCCCCAATCCCCTTCACGCCGGGCGTCACAGCAACCCCTGCCCCAGCAGTTCCCCCCAGACCCCCCAGGCCTGTGTGCCACCGCTGCGGCAGCGCTGACCACTTCGTCAGATTCTGCACCCAGACCATCTCTGCCCCCGCTGCTAGAAAATAAGCCTGCTGTTGTTGCACCAATTCATTCCGATGAAGAAAGAGATGTTGATTCTTATTTGATGGAGGCTGATGGTGGGTGGGATGTGCGTGAAGTTGGTGTTCAAGATGTTCAAGTAGGTAGCCTAGCTAAATGTATGCAATTTTGGCGCATGATGGGGGCATCTAGGTTTATTCAAACCATAGTACTGCATGGATACGCACTGCCCTTCATAGAGGTCCCGCGTGCAAGAGAATTTGCAAACCACCGCAGTGCATGCGAGAATGCCGAGTTTGTTTGTGACTCGGTGGAAAGTCTGCTGAACCAGGGTTGCATTCAAGAAGTAAAAAGGGAGGATGTTGTAGTCACCAGTCCGTTAGGCGTTGTGAACAACGGCAAGAAGCTACGACTCATTGTGGACTTGAGGTATGTAAACAAGCATTTGCAAAACTTTAAGTTCAAGCTCGAGGACATGAAGGTCGTGGCAAATGTGTACTCTCAGGGAGATTATTTGGTTACGTTCGATTTGAAGAGTGGGTACCATCATATTGAAATTGCGAAGGCGTATTGGAAGTACTTAGGTTTCTCCTGGGTGGGGAAGGGGGGTGATCGCAGGTGGTTCGTTTTCCGTGTTCTCCCCTTCGGTTTATCCACTGCCCCATACATTTTCACGAAGGTAACCCGTGTCTTACTAAGACACTGGCGGAGGGACGGCATCAGATGCCAGCTTTACATGGATGACGGGTCGGGTGGGCACTCTACAGTTGAGGGTGCACAGGCAGTAGCGAAAAGATTGAAATCAGATCTAGTTCAGGCCGGATTTGTTCCAAACGAAAATAAGTGCCACTGGGAGCCCTCACAGACGGTAGAAATGCTTGGCATGGAAGTCGACATGAGGGAAGGGATCATACGGGTCACTAAGGGACGGGTGGAAAAGCTGAAGACGTTTGTAGAAAAGCTGTCACAGGTCGAATATCCAACTGCCAGACAATTGGCCAGGCTTACGGGGTATTTGCTATCTATGTCGCTGGCATTGGGCCCCGTGTGCAGGTTGAGGACGAGGTCATTTTATGCACTGATTATGAACCGTGAGTCGTGGCATGCAAAACTCAGCTGGTCTCAAATGGCGCTTCAAGATCTGGAGTTTTGGTCTGGCTCGTTTAGTCAATGCCACGGTCAACCTTTTTGGAAAAAAGACCCCAGGGTGACAGTGCTCTCGTGGTCCGACGCGAGCGACTCTGGCTGGGGAGGTTTCTCAGTTACATCAAAAGGAACTGAATTAGCTAAAGGGGAATGGACCAAAGAAATTGTGCAGGCTGGTGCCAGCTCCACATGGCGTGAGCTGCGAGCTATTTTGTTGGTTCTGAGTTCGCTGTCGAAAGAGATTGAAGGTGGCGTTTGCATTCACAGAAGCGATAACCAGGCAGCCGTGCACATAATACAAGTAGGCAGTTCAAAATCTCATTTGCAGAGCGAAGCACTGGAGATTCACAAGCTGTGCGCCGTGCATGGTATTCAGTTGCTGGCAGAATGGGTGCCTCGCGAAGAAAATGAGCTGGCCGATTACCTTTCAAAGCTGTCTGATACGGATGACTGGCAGTTAAATCCCAAATTGTTCGATTGGCTTGATTCGATGTGGGGCCCTCACAGCATTGATTGCTTTGCAAGCAGCAGAACAAAGCAAATGAGTAGATTCTGCTCAAGGTGGTGGAACCCGGGGTGCTCGGGTATTGATGCATTCACTGTGAATTGGAGCGGAGAAAGAGTTTGGCTGGTACCACCAATGTACTTGATAGGGCGTGTGGTAGATATGTTGATCGTGTCAAAATGCCACGGTACTTTGGTTGTTCCAGAATGGCAATCGGCGCCATGGTGGCCAAAGTTGCGTTGCGGCCCAAAGTGGGCAGATTTCGTTAAGGAGGCAATCAGCCTGCCAAAGTCTCATGATACCTTCCTGGAGGGTACTTGTCCATACAATTTCTTTGGGGGCAGTGTGAGTCCTTGTGACGTGTATGCACTACGCATTTGTACAGTGACAAACTGTGTTTGTTAGAAGAGGGATGCTGAAATTCGCCGGCCGCTGGAGTTTTTCTCTGACGGAAAGATGTCTGTTTGTGGAGCATGTGGTGATGAGCGAGAATGCGTGCATGCAGTGTCTGCGAGGTCCTGCTGCAGGATGTCCCCACTGTGGGGAGGTGATTGTGCTCTGAGCACGTAAGCAACTGCCTGGCAGTGGAAAGCTGTGGGTGCGAGTGAATGGCAGGAGTGGTGGAAGATCGCCAGGTATAGCGACGACATCCCCCTGGGGGAAGAAGGAAGCTGACGAGTCGACTGCTCTGACATAGCCAGCTAGGAAGCATTGACAGAAACCATTCTATTCTCTGTTCAGAACCAGCCAAGGACAACCTCTCAGAGGACATGAAGGCGCTGGAACAATGTCTGCCATCCATTATGAATATGAGTCGGGCACCAAGAACTGTGAAGAAGTACGACTCTGCTTTCTGTAGATGGAGCAAATGGGCAGAGCGTCAGAAGGTGCCTCATCTGCCAGCAGACCCATTTCACGTAGCCCTATATCTGGTCTACATCATGCAAGATGCCAAAACTGTCAGCCCATTGGTCTCAGCCGTGTGCGCCTTGTCATGGAAACATGATATCCAGGGATACTCGGACCCATGCTCTAACGGAGTGGTGAAGAATGTGATGCAGGCAGCCAAGCGCTCTCTGGCTCGACCGAAGGATAGAAAATTGCCATTATCAAAACCACTTCTGGAGCGCCTCCATCGGGAACTGTCAAGCTCATCACTGCAAGACCTGCAGACCCTAACCCTCATAGTACTGGGTTATGCCGGTATGATGAGGTGGGATGATTTGGCCAACATCTTCGTGGATGAGGTAGCCATCAAGTCATCACATATGGCGGTCTTCCTGCAAGTTCGCAAGAACGACCAACTGAGGCAAGGTAGCTGGGTGTTCATCAGCCGGTGGGAGAGTGACCTGTGCCCGGTATCGCTAGTGGAGCATCTGATTGAAAAAGGAGGGCACCAAGGTCATGTCAAGCTGTTCGGGCGTATAGCTCGTGTAAAGGGCAGGACCGCCGTCAAGCACTCGCTATCCTACAGCAGAGCAAGAGAGTTAGTGCGTGAAGCTCTGAAGCGTATCGGCGTAAACCCAGATGAGTATGGTTTACACAGTTTGAGATCGGGAGGTGCATCCACGGCTGCTGCAGCAGGAGTACCAGATAGGCTCATTCAGCGACAGGGAGGATGGAGAAGTGATGCTATGAAGGCTTACATTCAGGAATCCCTGCCCAATCTGCTGCAGGTGTCTCAAGTGCTAGCTGTGTGACTCTACTGCTATGCTTTAGTGTCCTTGCTGTGGCTGTCCCCCCGCAGTTGTTATTCTGTGATGAGTGTGTGTGAGTGTGTGTGTGTGTGTATGTGAGAGAGAGAGAGAGTGTGTGTGTGAGTATGTGTGCAGTACTGACGTGTGAGTGAGAAAAGAAGTTTTCATTTCTTGTTGGCTGAGTTTTACGAAATAAACAAGAAATGTTGTTCTTTTCGAACGAACAGGTCTGGGACCGAGGTCCAACAGTTTTGGGCGTACTGGTACGCCGCAGTCCCTCATCTTTTGTTTTCTTGCTTTGCAAGCTGGTTTCCCACCCTCCCTCCCAATGAGGAGCTTTGTACGGTTTTCACACACAGATCATGATTGTGAGAGCGCTGCGTTACTCTCTCTCTCTGATAGATTTCTCAATATTGCTGCTACAATACAGGTTATAAGTTGTGCGAGGTGTGGAATGTGCGGATGCTCTGTCGATTGCTGTGCTTTTCTGTATGATTCACCTCGCACAATGCTGTCACTCTATGAGGTGTTGTTTTCGCTGGACGTTTTTCTGTCTGTGTTCTGGACACAAGAGTGCAACCAGCCTTGCTGTGGCTGTCCCCCCGCAGTTGTTATTCTGTGATGAGTGTGTGTGAGTGTGTGTGTGTGTGTATGTGAGAGAGAGAGAGAGTGTGTGTGTGAGTATGTGTGCAGTACTGACGTGTGAGTGAGAAAAGAAATGCTATTTCCAGTCAAATGACCCTGGATAAGGTGACATGTAACAGAGACCACGTTTTGAAGGTCCCTCGAACGGTCGTCTTAGACAGGTTTCACTGTACACGTGTGCACTACTCCCTGGTAGTGGTAGCAGCACTCCAGTCTAACGTACTGAGTTTACGGCTTTTCCAACACACTTCGATCGGTCCCAATGACTATCTGGGACGAAGGGGGTGCAACAGGTTCCCGTGCCCCTTCAAGATTTGCTAGAAGGTTACGGGTGCAGTGTACAGTAGCATGCCGATTATCCAAACGTCAACTATCCCAACGTCAACTATCCGAACAATCACAAGTACGTACTCTTGATACGATGTTGAACGGTCTGCATGGATCATGGCAACAGCATACTGTAAAGAAGAGGTTGATGTGACTTCGGGGCGATACTTGGGGAATTGTGTGTTGCTCCCTACATGGCAGCTCGCGGTTTTCCCGCCGACTTGAATTCTCACTTGACTGACTCCTAGAAGACCACTGAAACCAGGATCAAGGGATGCTATTTCCAGTCAAATGACCCTGGATAGGGAGACCACCTGGTAACAGAGACCACGTTTTGAAAAGTCCCATGAGCGGTCGTCTTAGACAGGTTCCACTGTACATGTAGTGCTGTCCAGACACAAACATCACCAGGGATACAACCAGGGAGTAGTACAATACGGTATTGTACTACTCCCTGGATACAACCTTTCAGAGACGCTCGGTTTCCAGCGCGACAAACACCTCGTATCATACTGTAAACCGAGAAATTTCGGTGGAGATTTATTTTCGGTCAATTCGGTGCAGGTAATTTTACCTAAACATAAAACGCGGCCTAAACTCAACCATTCCATGCCACACACAGTATACAAAATGCATTTTTGGATCTGGAAAACTGGTTTATCGAAATTTTCGGGCTACCGAACCATTGATTTTGGGAAATACCGAAAATATTACACGACCGAAAATTCCCGGTTTTCCAGTAGTGGTTAGAGCATCGCTGACCTACCGTGTTTTCTCTAATAAACCGATAATGACCCAGGGCAGGGGTTGTTTGAAACAATAATTGGAGTATGCAACCATACATAATTGACTGCATAATTATAAAAATAGCAGTGCAGCATGCCGAGCACGTGTTCGTGAGGAGGCACACCGCAGGCGCGTAACACCACTGTTGGAGGTGGTCCGGCCAGAGGGGTTCTTGGGGCTGCCCCCCCCCCCCCGGGAAAATTTTGAAATTAGGGTGCTAGATCCTGCATTCCGAGGCTGGGCCTTCGAAAAAAGGGGTCGGGCGAAAAAGTGGTCCGGCCAAAGCCGGACCGGCTGCTACGTCCCTGCACCGGCCGGTCTATTTATAGCACTCGGATTTCACCGCACGAAACTACATGCTCGCATAATGGCATCGTTTGTCTGGGCCACGCTTGCGGTAAGCAGGACAACGCCATGTTATTTCAAGTTGCACAGACCACAGATCACGTAGAACTTCAAAATCCGGGATTGAAATGCACAATTTTTATTGTTTTTATTTCATATTTTTATAGCAACGCAGCTCAGGACTCAGCGGAAACGCCGTGACGGCCAAAGTGAAGAGAGTGGGGTGGTAGCCAACCACATTGCTCCCACGCGTACTGCTGTGATCTCGTGTCGGCTCCGTACGTACCGAGTCTATTAAGAGTACCAGCCACCACACAGTACTCCGTGTATGGCGCTGACAACACCAGCAACAACGGTGGCATGGTCGCATCAGTGTTCAAATCAAAACGTTGTGTGCCCCACTACACACACATACATGCAGCAGTGCTGCAGTGACACGCACACAACCTGCACAGTGACACGATGAGCGCTACTGTCACCACCTAGCCAAGCAGCCGGCTGCCAGGGTTACGTGTACGTGTACTTCCAATAGTCAACACACACACACACGCACGCACGCACGCACGCACGCACGCACCCACACACACACACACACACACATGCCAGCCTGGTAAGGAAATGGCCAGGTAGTTGTGTTGCACATGTACATAATGGGTGGAAGGGAAGGGCTTCACCAAAGTCTGTTATTTAAGTTAGTACCACCAGCAGTAGCAACGTGGACAACAAATGGGCACTGCGGGAGAGACGGAGAGAGTGAGTGAGAGAGAGAGAGAGAGAGAGATAGGGAGGGAGAGAGAGAGAGAGAGAGAGAGAGAGAGAGAGAGAGAGAGAGGGAGAGATAGAGAGAGAGATGACGTTAGTCGAGCGACACCGAGAGAGACATGGCCTCCGGGCGGCCGCTGCGGCTCAAGGCCGGCCGGCGTTTGCTGCCGATATCGGACGGCCGAGCCAGCATGACACGTTTGTACTCGTACAGATTGGCCTCGGCGTTCATGGCGATGCGCTGGCCCTCGTTGCGCCGGAGCACCTCCCACTGCGACACGAGATGCTTGGCCTGGTACAGCACGCCCTTGAACAGGCTTGGGTTCTCCAGGCGTACTTTCTCCATGGTCTCCAGGTCCGGCGGCGTGTTATGCGTCAGAGGGTGAGCAATGGTGATGTAGCTGTTGTGCAGCGCCGTGAACGTCCTGTTCTGGCGCCGCATGGTCGTTTGCTTGGAGCCCCTTTTGGCCTTGACGACCTCCGTGTCCTTTTCCAGATCATGCTGGTATTGCTGGACCCAGGCCTGCTCCAGCTCGGGCGTGCGCTCTAGAGGGCGGCGTGCCTCGTCGGGCACCTGGGCCCAACGGGCGTGTCGGCACTGTAGTGGTGGAGTACACAGGCAGCACATGCACACACGCAGGCGTGCACACACGTAAACACACGGGCACCAGCGTAGCCACATGCACAACCCATCCACACATCCACACAAACACACACGAACACACACACACACACACACACACACACACACACATCCACACAGGAATATAGATGGCGAATGCTGCGCAAATGGCGATCACAACAACGCCACTGTAAAGGAAATACACGCATACTAGTATCTCTGTTGTCTGCAACTCCAAGGTACGGGTGTGGGTTTGAGAGCAACGGAAGTGCAGAGCTGTTAGAGCAGCTCCAAGGTACGGGATTGTGGGTTTGAGAGCAACGGAAGTGCAGAGCTGTGAGAGCAACTCCAAGGTACGGGGTTGTGGGTTTGAGAGCAACGGAAGTGCAGAGCTGTGAGAAGAGCAAGTTGCGATTTAGTGAAAAGCAAATGGTTTCGTAGAAATACCAGAGAAACGTGTCATGATGCGCCGCCACAAGGGCACGCCGGTCTACTGGGCACCTTGGGAGCCCATAATCTCCCTCTCCAGCTCCGGGGAAACGCACTTGACCAGCTTCTGGCAGTGAGCAAGCACACGTGTGTGTGTGTGTGTGTGTGTGTGTGTGTGTGTGTGTGTGTTTGTGTGCGTGCGTGTGTGTGTGTAGGCATGTGGACGCGTGTGCTTGCATGTGTGCATGTGTGTGTGTACGTGTGTGAGTGAGCATGCACATGCAAGTGCATACTGCCTAACAGAGAGTTGCTTACGGAAGGGTTATCTTTCTGAACATCATCGCGGAATTCGTAAGACTCCAGCATCCACTCGTGTAGCTAGTGAACATAGGAAGAAGGAAAGGGAAGAGAGACCACACACACACAGACAACAGACAACAGACACACACACACATCGAGTCAATATCGGAGCTCTCTGCTGACAAGTGGCGCACAAGGTTGTTACGGAGTGCACTTATTTATTTACAACTATTTATCTAGACAACAACATCTCCTGGCACGTCAAAGGACTGCCAATGTAGCAAGAAGGGCCCATGAGTGTGTGTAATCCCCGGTAACCTAATCGGTAGGGCACTGTCCCGGAAAGACAGGGGTGCTGGGTTCGAATCCCGCTCGTGGATCCTTTCTTTTGCAACACCAATGATGGAGTTGAGATGATGGGTGAGAGGCAACCATGGCACAACGGAATCTACAAATAAAGACTTGCAGATCGGCATCCGGGAATAAAAGTGCCATAAATCCTGTGGCTAGGGAAGATCGCCTCTCCGGGGGACCTACCTTTTCGACACTGGGGAAGATCCGTCCGGTCAGACGAAAGCAAGTGCATTCGTCGTCTCCGGTAACAGAATTGTAGCGCCGCTCAATCTGAAAGCGGCGGTAGTAGTAGCAATGCCAGTGGCAATGGAGCCGGGAGACAAGCAGCAGCAGCAGCAGGGAGAGAGCGGACAAAGGAAGAAAAGCCAGACATCAGCAACAGGGGAAATAAGACAAACACCACTCCGGAAACGAGTAGTCCACGAGAGGGGACAGTGATTTAAAAACAATGCTACTTCAAGTATGAATAGAATGATCTGCACAGTCATCACTGGTACGCGCACACTCGCACACACACACACACACACACACACACACACACACACACACACATACGCAAACACACGCACACACACACATACGCACACTCGCACACACACACACACACACACACACACACATACGCACACTCGCACACACACACACACGTGCACACACGCATGCACACATACACCACGACAACGAAGGTCTCGGGTATCCAAAAAACGAGTCCATGGGATGATCGTCAG